GTCCGTGCAAGAAGAGGAGATCCCTCCCCCGAAGCCGGACTTCAAAATCAACCAGCCCGTCACCACCAGTCAGATAGTGGTCACCGAGCACGTGCCTAAAGAGCACAGCAGTCTCCCCGCCACGTCCAATAGAGTTTCCGCCCTCATACATAACTACAATTTGTATGGCAACGTCAGAGATCAGCACATATATGGCAACACTGAAGTCGTCCCGCTGCACCACTCTGTGTCGGTCGACGATTCCAGGATCGATGCGACGTCCACGGAGACGGTGAGGAGTCGAGTCCAGGCGATAAGCGGCAGACTCGACACGCCGCCCCTGTACTCCGTCAGCAAAAAGATGGCCGTCGATCAGAACGTCGGGCACAGCGATCAGGGGTGAATGTTGCCAGCTTTAAACGAAGCCGCTTTTGTAGTAGATTTTTACTCCGCGTGGAGTTTCGACAGCTTTACATCATTTTTTTTAAGGCTATGACATAGAGTGCGATGTTAGAATGGACTAGTCTAGTAGTTACAGGAACATACGGCTCAGGAACCNGCGTGGAGTTTCGACAGCTTTACATCATTTTTTTTAAGGCTATGACATAGAGTGCGATGTTAGAATGGACTAGTCTAGTAGTTACAGGAACATACGGCTCAGGAACCGTAACATTTTCTATTAATTAATTAATTAAAATAATAATTTGCCGCTTTTACTTCATGCTACTTCGCTATTCAAGGCATACAATATTCTTTATTTCAAAAAACAAATACGTCATATTATTTCCTACCACATATCGCCTTTTCGTAGTAAAATTGTACAATTTCCAAAAATATTCGAAATGAGTTAATATGCGTAAACGTTTGGTATCACCAGTATTTTTTCTCATAAATACTGTCTCAAAAGAGCGTAGTTTAGTTTTTTTGTTTTTTATTTATTATCTATGTTTTGACAACTATTAAGAAAATGAATACATAATTTTAACTTACTTTAAAAGACAGATAATGTAACTGGTAACTAATAAAAAATAAATGTTGCAAATATAATTAATATTAAAAATATTACATGTACATAAACCTTTAAAACACTCTCCTGTAAAATTAGTAATTTGGAGATTATACAGTTTTAATGCGAGAAGACGATATTACATTTCATTGAAAAGTTTATTCACACATACATAAAATTTTAATAGTTAGATTAACAATATTTTTTTGCTAATAGCTTTAATACGCAAGTAATACGGTTCGAATTCATGAAACCGGTTGAGGAAGACGTTACCTTCAACAAGTACTGTGAATCGTAAAGCCATTAACGAAAAAAATATTGAACACTTTTAATAATGTGTTAAAATCGTTTTAGTGAAATTAACATATCATCGCTATTGTTGTGCTTCATATTAACTTATCGTGTTTCGTGTATGATATGATAATATCGACGCTTGAAAGGCAAAAGTGACTAAGCGACAATAACTGCTTTGTACATAAATGATAGGCAATAACCATATTCGATGCGCAAAAAAAATATATTTCTAGGTCTATTAAAATCATTTCAATCCTACAGCTACTAGCTAGATTCTACTACAGCTAGATTCGTTAAAATAAATTTTGTGTTCAGGTATTTCAACTTTAAATTAGTCTACTGTAAAGTTCATTGTCGCTTAGTCACGTTTGCCTTTCAAGCGTCGATATGGACTTTTATTTTTCTCTTTATATCAATGTTGTCGGCTAGTAGAATCTTCAAAAATTTCTTTCGTACTTAAATACCAAATATTTATCTCTTTTACTCGTGACCGGTTGGATTCAGTCACACTTGTTCGAATATTTAAAGAAACCATTGTCTGTCTGTCTACTGTGTTTTTTTTTGTTAAAATATGATTTTGGAGATTTTGTCTACATAAACATTGTCATTTTCATAACACCAATAAAAAAAAGCGGCTCAATTTTTTGTAGATTTCGTTCGGAATGTTCTTGTAAACAACTCACATAACTCAATAATGAAAAGTCTACGGATAAAATTGATTTGTGATAATATTGCCAATAACGACCTAAAAATACCGTATAAGGATATACACGATATAATATGCACATTCCTCAATAATTGCACCACTAAACGTAAGTATTAATTATTTTTCGTACAGATTTTACATTTTTTGGTGTTGGTAACACCGTTTTGTACCGTTTTAACTTCATAAGTTAAGGGAATACAATAAACAGCCACAGAACAAACATTGAAATTATTCAAGTATTAACATTTTGTATTTAGCGTGTCATTATAATGTATATTTTCTTTCTTTAAGTATATAATAATACTACGTCACAATTATGCATTTATCTTTTAATAATGCGCAGGATTTGCTAATTTCCTTTGTAAAAATGTATAAAATTAATTTTATCAATAACGTTACATGTGTTACATTGAACACCTTATCCAAAGCTATTTTAAGTTTAGATCTCAAGGATTTTTCTAGATTTTTAGAGATTACTTTGTAAAATGGACTAATTTTTGTAATAGTAAATGAAAAAAGAATTTATTTATTAAAAGAATCTACGATTTTGTTTGTATAGTTGATTTTATAATTATAGTTTTTGTTTGAGATGTCTTGGGATAATGAGATAACACAATCGATTAAAAAAATATCTAACCACTCTCAGAAAATACTCCAACAAAATGAATAGAGCATAAGTGTCTCATTGTTTCAAAATGTTGAATTGTATTCGAAATGTTGTTTTTGAGGGAGTCAAACAAAGAATTTGATTAATGCCACATTACTTACAACTACTTTGGATAATATTTTTTTTCTAATTATACAGAGTACACTAAAATATAACCTCTATGATTCAAAAATATGTTTATAGATCAAACAATAGTCCGTTACTGCATTTTGCTTAATTAATCTGTGGCATTTCAATAACCTTTTTCTCAGAACTGATATTTCAAGAAAATGTGGCATTACGAAGTCATTGTTAAGCCGTCAGTAGTGTAAGCAGGATGTCATTCCAAAGTATATCATATAGTAAGAGATAACCGTAGTTGTAGTGGTGAGCTGCCCGCGATAACCGACTGTACCCCGAGGTGAACCGGATTCTGTTTACGCAACTAAATAAAGAAAAAAAAAAAAAACCAGTGGCATTTTTATTTATACTTATCTATACTTAATATTATTATAAAGAGGAAAGATTTGTTTGTTTGTTTGTATTGAAAAGGCTCCGAAACTACTAAACGGATTTTAAAAATTCTTTCACTGCTTAGAAGCTACACTATTCCCGAGTGGCATAGGTTACAATATTTTTTGAAAAAAATTATGGATCCTTACTAAAACACCAATAATGTAATCCACGGTGTAAAAAAATTACGTAAAATATTCTTTAAATCGCGTGCCCTGCAAAAACTATTGATGATAGAATAACATAATGTACTACGACTTTGTAGAATACATTATTATTTACAAAAATAGTCACGACAGCATATGTCTAACTATTATAGTTATGCCACAATAAGCGGGCCGCTAGTTTATAATATAGTTACGAAGTCACGATCTGCACTAGTGAAGAAACTGTTAAGAAGTTCGGAGATACGGGGTTTTTGTTTTTGATGGTCGCACGCATCAGCTCTCCTACTCTTCTCGTCGAACCCGTCGGTTGTGAAGAAGAGCTCGGCGAGTAAATTAACCCACAGACACAGCCCACTGAGTTTCTCGCCGGAACTTCTCAGTGGATCGCGTTTCCGATCCGGTGGTAGATTTTGCAAAGCACTGCTCTTGCTAGGGTTAGTGTTAACGATGCCGGCATGTTTGAGCCCCGTGAGCTCACCTACTTGTTAGGTTATGCTGACATAGCCTCTCAAGGCTATCAGTTTAGATAGGGAAAAAAGATATAGACGGTGATGATCTTCATGAATTGCTGGATTCACACAGTCCAAAACTTATAATTGTCGGGCCTATAGAAATGCGAGAACATTATTATGGTAAGGAACAATCTGTTTCGTTAGGCCCAGTTGAATTAAAAACTTCAAATGACGATGTTGCAAAATTAAAAAAAAAGGTCTGGTTTGGTTCAATTGAAAAGGGATTATAAATATTAAAAACAAAGTCCAATGAAAAGCGCCTTTCGACTACAAAAGGGCGAATAAAAAAATTACTGACCCCCTATAAGGAAATTTTCCGTAAGAAGAAAAACTTAACTCGTCTGGCGACATTGTCAGAACTTATGAAACCTTCGACGTCAAAATCACTTCAGCTTACGCTGTTTTAATAATTAACATGATACTAAATATGTTTCTTTTGAATGATGAATAATTGTTTTATAGATATATGCATATGATATTGCAATATGCAAACGCGAATTTGACTTATACGATTATCGCTCAATCTCACCTGTCGCTTAAGTTTGGGGTATTATTGGTACCGGGATTTCGGCAATACTGTAAGTATGTATCAAAATCACTACTCTAGAATGACATGTCGTATATATGTACTATATATACACTGTAATTTTTTTTTATTGCTTAGATGGGTGGACGAGCTCACAGCCCACCTGGTGTTAAGTGGTTACTGGAGCCAATAGACATCTACAATGTAAATGCGCCACCCACCTTGAGTTAAAAGTTCTAAGGTCTCAGTAGAGTTACAACGGCAACATATGAGATATAATAATTAAGTATTAAGTTTGTATGATAAGAGTTTAATAGAAACTTTAAAATAATTAGATGGTATAATTATTTTAGTTTCTATTAAACTCTTATCATACAAACAAAACTACGTTGTTTTCCCTTTAAGTTATGCAATACCTATTAGAAAACATTACTTTCGAGATTGAAGAAAAACTACCTTTAATTTAGTGTCTTTTGTATAAAAACATGCAATCAAAGTGGGTTAACTTTTTACATCTATCTGAAAATACGTGAGTGTTTCAAAAGAATCAAGTTCGGTGAAGATATAAAAATATTTGGCTTAAAGGACTAGAACCCTGTTTACTGCTTAATTTTTTTTTATGGGAAAAGCAAAAAAAGATTTCTTTTTTTTTATAATTTATTTAAACAAAATACAAAGCAATAATTCACTGTTTTTGGTTTTAAAATGTTAATGCGACAATCGTTATACAAACACTACAATAATATCTAGAAAATCCGTTACTAGATTTCCAGCGATGTATTCATTTTATTCAGAATACAGGAAATTATTTAATTCGGGTCAGAATTAAAATTTAATTTTTTTTAAATAAACGAATTATTTAGCGAAATGTTTATCATATTATTGGAACATATCGCTGCAGTGTCACGCCATTTTGATAAGTTTCAGTTCATTTGAGATCCTTTTTACTGTTACGTTAAGAAGAATACATTCATAAGTTTTAGTGCACATATTACTGTGACCCTCTAAGCTTTTCTCTTAATTTATTGGGATTTATGGGAAATCTGAAATTTAATAGCAGCCATATTGTCCAGCATCATCTGATTTTGACATTTGACATTGGCATTTGGCATTCCTATAACTGCACTAACTTCGAATATTTTCATTTGAAATCATTAAAATCATTTTATTGTTTTTTAAATTTTTTCTACGTAATGTAACATACTTTTTAGAGTTCAGCTGACGCGTTCTATCCTCGATCATACGGAGAACAAGTCCGTCAGCTGCCTTAGCTCTACATTATCATAAGTAAACAAGTATCTGAGCTTAGCTTGCTGTAAACGCAACTTAAGTAGCTTAGAAACTTATTTTCATTTCGGATTCAGCGGTTCCATTAACTTTTGTATTCGTTTCAAAGTAAGGACCGTTCCTTTTTAATGAACTTTTACTTTTTGCATTCTTTATGGCTACATTAATGAAAGGTCATCTACAATAATCGAGACACAAGAAACTCGTAAACCGTCTTGGTACATAAAGGATTTTATTTGTAATACTCAGGAAATACTGTAAAAACACTAAAATTATTTATTTTACATCATACATTCTGTATTGGTTATGTAAACACTTTAAGGTTATATGTAAAACTTTCATTTTTAATGTAGCCATAAATTATTCGTAAATATTTAAAATTAAACGCATTTATGCTCCTAAATGTTATGAAAAAGGATATAAAAACCATATCGTTGAGGTTGTTCACGTTTCAAAGGTTTACTTGTGTAGACCTTTCAATGAAAAAAAAAGCTATGTCATAGATGAGAGACAGTGTAGATGTGCATCAGGAATTATTGTTATATCTCTTTCATTTTAATAATACGCAATGTGAATACCTTTTGTTATTTGAATACTAACAATAACCCCCCACGCACACCCCCTGTCTATTTTTGATTTCCCACTGCGAACATATTTAATAAACTATTTTCATTTATCTGAACACTGCTGTTAGCTAATTTAAATTTGTTACATCAATAATTGTAGAAGCACAATATATATTATAATCAATTGTAAATTAAACGGGCAGCAAGAAAAAAAAATAAAAACAAATAATCGTACGCACACTTACGTACAATTTAGAACTAACACAGATTATTTGTAGGCGTGTTCGTAATATTGCACTTTCAACATTATTCAAATATTAGAACATGTTAAAATTTTGCACGTGAAATAAACAACTTAATGCAATGAGAGATAACTTTATAAAAAAGATAAGAAAAAACATGATATTTAGTTATCCGAGAGAATAACACGTATTATTTGTAATTGCAAATATTATTAAGCTACAAAGAATGACTTAGAGAGGCCGTTCACCTGAATTAGCTTGGCCGGAGCTTGTTGAAAGATTTTCCTTATCCAAAGTTTCTTGATGTCTCTGGACAGTTACATAATAATAGCACTTTATGTCTTTGGCAAGAGCATTCATCCGGCAATATCTGATACTGTGTTTCTCTCAATAAAATCATTTATCATCAGTTTAATGTTTCGATTTTATTTATATCTTTACTAACAAATCTAGACCACAGTCACAAAACAAATCTTCACGTAATACAATACAATAGTATTTGAGAGCAAAATTTATATTAACCGTTTAAACTCTAGACCTATTTACATTACCAATTCATCGTGTGACATATCTGTGGTTTATCTCTCATTGCATTGAGGCAATGTCGTTGTCAGAATTCATCGTTTAACAGTCGAGGAAGTTGGCAGCCATCAACACTTCGAGGGCGATCTCGGGAGCGATCGGAAACTCTGGTATCTCTGTAGACGAGTTGGTATAGCGTACCTTGTACGTGAAGTACATGCAGACTTTTTGGAGTACGTGTGATCTGTTGACAAATAAAATCGAGGTATTACAAGTATTCCGAGAAGATATTAGGAACTTTGATGTTGTAGGATGTGACACGGAATGTGGTGAAGAATCCGTGCATTTCGGCTTGATGTGCGACCACCATTACACAATATAGTTTGAGCCATTGTCCAGGGTAAGCTTCGTTGTTCATTCATATTCAGTCGAGTGACATTCATATCGAAAGGACACCTATTAATTCCTCAACTAAACACTGGTAGCGTCGAGGGGCTACTCCAGCTAAGCACGATTTAGTACGTGAGCTGACAGGGCTTAATTTGGGAGGACTAACATTAGCCCTAGCTTAAAAATAACAGTGTTCCTCTGCGATCCATTAACGGCGCTTTTAGGTATCCCAAGCACTGGTCATCGTTCTCGTCGAACCCGTCGCTTGCGACGAAGAGCTCGGCGATTAAATTAACCCTCAGACACAGCCCACTGAGTTTCTCGCCGGATCTTCTCATTGGGTCGCGTTTCCGATCTGGTGGTAGATTGTGCGAAGCATTGCTCTTGCTAGGGTTAGTGCTAGCAACGTCAGTTTTGAGCCCCGTGAGCTCACCTATTTGTTTGGATTACGCTAAAATGGTCTCTCAAGACAATCAGCTTGGGTAGGGAAAAAAGCACAGAGTAGGTCTGTAGTATCCGATAGAACGTGTCTTGGGCGACGGCGGCTTTGCGTTGCCCTGTTACCAGGGTCGGAGATGTTATCGTACCGCACCAATCTCGAAGATCACCCGTCCAGTCACACACAGGATCACCATAGAGCTGTCTATATTCTTTAAGACTGTTTTTTTTTTCTTAAATTCTTGTGTTCCATTGGACAATGGCACAGTAGTCAGAACCTGCTAACCACAAAACTGACAAGGTAATATTTTGATAGTACATACGGTATCTCTCTAAAGTTGACCTCGTTGGCTTCATTTTCAGCAAACTGGCCCGGTCCACTGAGCATAGCCTTAATGGTGCCGGATATAAGAGCATGCTCCCTCTTCACAATGAACTCATGTCCATCAGAGGATACCAGTTTCACATACATAGCATCTGGACCTTCACATCCTCCATACACCTTCTCTTCACCACCGATACTGCCTAAGGGTGGGAATAAGAAAGTAAAATGAGTTTTAATCTAATTATAACGTAACGTATATGTTGTTATGTTATAATTATAACATAACAACACTTCAACTCATACTGCAATCAGCTGGTATCTTTGTTTGTTTATCAAAATGTGATTACTGGTGGTAGGAGGACGTTTGTGAGTCTACACAGGTAGGTACCATCTCCCTACTTATTTCTGCCATGAAGTTTCTGTTTGAAGGGTGGGGCAGCCGTTGTACTGTAAAAACTGAGAATTTAGAACTCATATCTCAATGTACAATGTTGACTATGGGCTTGGGTAAGCCCTTAGTCAGGTGGGCTGTGAATTCATCAAATCATTTGAGTAATAAAGAAGTGTAGAAAAGTAATAGTAAAAGTCACAATTATATCAAAATTTAAACAATAGTATTGATTGTTATTATATCTATCATTATCATATTCTGTAATTCCTCAATTATTTGCAATGGTGACCATTAATTTCTCACTAATTACTAATAGGCATCTCAACAAGAATACACTATTTAAATTTTGGGTAATTTTTATATTTGTTATTGGCAACTTTCAATTTCATAGCTGATGCTGATCTCAAAAAATTCATGTGTCAACTAGCCACCAGGATCATTTCTTTGGGATTTTCTGAAACTGCAATGCCAATAACCCAAAAACTGTTTCAGAGTTCAAAGCCAACAAACAGCTACATTTTTGTCAACATGTCATTAAAATTTTCTTGAACCTATCATTGGAGTTTTGTTGCCCAATTTTCCAGATTATTTAAGAACAAAATTTGTGCATTACAATACCACAAAACATCACTATTCTAAAATATATCAAGGGGTGAAAAGTTTATTTAGTTTAAGCGTCATTTCACTTAATATCATTTTATCTTTGTATTTATCAAATGTATATTATCAAAGGTGGCAATCTGTGCACAGATTTTTGGACAAAAAAATGTTATTGATATGTCAATACAGATTGATTTGAATATAATCGTTTCCTTCAAAGAATACGGTTCAAAACCTGCATTAAATAAAGGTTAGTACGTAACCTATTATTTATCTAAGATGTCGTTCAGAAGAGTTTTGTGACTGCCAATGGAATACAAAGTCAATAATTCGTTTTTCTGATTTACCAATAATTGTCCAAAAGTCACATTGCCGGCTTTGATAATAGTCGACTCATTTATCTTTGTATTTAAAGGTGTGTTTTATGTGGTATTAGCATCAACAGTACGATGTTCTTAATTGAACTTTAATTAAGTTTAATCCATTTAAATAGCTGAATAAGTTTTTTGTTATGATATTTTTACCAAAATGTCAACTTTAAAACGGCACTTCTATAAAGTTTCACCCCTCGGTATGATATTTTTTTCATAAATGAAATAGTGCACTCCTATTGAGAACCGTATACACAGAAAATATAAATCATGTAACCAATTGACCAATATTGACCCATAAAAGATAAAAGTTATAATAACAATGGTAATATTATAATGTATGTATATTATAACAATATACGGTTATAATTGTGGATAAAGTTACCACTCAAAAAGGACAAATATTAAATTTATTTCAGTAGTACTAGTTTGCAAATCTTACCAGATCCACTAGCTGAATGTTGTTCATCAGCAACATTAGTTACAGAAGGTTGCTCGGACATTTTCCACTGAGGGATTTCTTGCTGTAGAAAATAAATTTCTTAGATTATATCTGCATATCATAATTTTTTTTATTACAGAGGTGAGCGAACAAGCTCACAGTCCACCTGGTGTTAAATGGTTATCGGAGCCCATAGACATCTACAATGTAAATGCCGCTACCCATCTTGAGATAGGAGTTCTAAGATCTCAGTATAGTTACAAGGGCTGTCCCACCCTTCAAACCGAAACGCATTACTACTTCACGGCAGAAATAGGCGGGGCGGTGGTACCTCCCCGTGCAGACTCACAAGAGGTTTTACCATCAGTAATTGTGCAAATTATAATTCTGCGGGTTTGATTTTTATTACACAATGTTATTCCTTCACCGTGGAAGTCAATAGTGAACATTTGTTAAGAACGTATTTCACTAAGCTTACTGAACTTATTGTTTAACATTAAGTATATTAATAGGTAATGAACAGCTTGTGGTCAGCAGTCTAATTAGTTAATAATTAGAATGATGGGCAAAAGTGCATGTCATCAATAGAGAGGATACAAAAACTGTTAGTTTGTTTTGAATAATTATTAATTTTATATTAAGATAATCAATTAAACAAAAACTTATGTCTATGGCTATTTAGAGTACAATTTGTATTTATTAATTAAGGTATTCCAACAAAGGATATACAATATAGAAATGTTGCTAAAGATAAAACTAATAAATAGCTTTTTTCACACCACATTCACAGAAATAAACAGCATATTGGAATTAATTTCAAATCAAGAAACGCATGAATACAAAAAAGCCGACTTAAAACGTCTAAAACATCACTAAACTCATATTCAAGCAAAAGCTAGGTTAGTCTCGAAAACTAAGAAAAACGAAGGAAGAAAAAAACTTGATAGTAAAAATAGCTCAGAATATAATAGAATTAATTCAAACATGAATAAAAAATAAATGAAAGCAATTTATGAATTTACATCTGTTTGTAAATGTTTAACCATTTTAATGGCAAATTATTTAGGCATTAGGTATACCTTAAAGCGTCAAGGTTTTAAATTTAATCTAAGATCTCTATCACAACGAATGAAACATACCTTAGGCTAATATGGAGTTGTTTATATAGGTAGGTAAGAGGTATTATTATATATATAGCCTTATACTATAAAGATGAAAATACTTTATTCAGTAAATATTTCTAAATATTGAAAGGAACAATTTTGATTTTTGTAGGTTAACAACCCAGCAGAATCGAATTTTGACAGGACTAAAAGTCGGGCTGTCAGATTTGACAGTAGCAGTAGTAGTTCCGTTATACCAAATGGAATCGCGAAAGTATCACACCATACTTTGTATATTCTATTCTCTTTCATGAAAAATGATATGGAGTGAAATGAAATGAAGTAAATTAATTTGAGACATTAATCAACTAGATAAAATGAGATAAGATTATATGGGATGAAATATAATCTCAGTAAAATGGTGGTTATTTATTGAGACTTTTTCAGTTGGCTTTGTGGAGGATCCCGATAAGCTACGTTTAGTGACTTTGTTTCATTTTAGCACATTTGTACACTTCACAGATATTCAACAGTTAATAAATCACCGTTATTACATCTTTAGATACGACGAAACACTAAATAGACAAAATAAAACAATTCACGGAAATTCGCTCCTCGTCCTCGCATCTAGATGTTTGAACCACAAATGAAGTTAACACACTTATTCATTCGTGAATCGTGAATGTTGAGAATAAAATTGTTGATAATCGGAATGAGTGGGTTTTACGTAGGCATCTCCTTAATAGGCACGTAGAAGGGTTTTTGATTTGACTCATCAACCGACTTTAATACCCACCTATCTATCCAAAGCCTATAATAAAACTACCTAAATACCTAAAAAAAATACCTAATAAAATATCTATCTAAAGTTGACTGTGGCAAACAATTGGGCGAGTATGGCATAGAAAAGAAGTATAGTATGAAAGAAAGAAATACATGAAATAGATTTAGACTCATCGAATGCGAAATAATAACAAACCCATGTTAATGTTAAAAATGAGTTCATCTTTTTTGTACTTAATATCACACTATCCGTATACAACGAATAAGAGGCTATACCACTGATAGTGTCATTCAGGGCGGTCAATATTGTTCTGATACTATCGCAATAAATTAACACTCAGTCTATTATTTATATATCATAACGGAATTTTATTTCTGAAGGCATTCCGTTCCAGATCTTTTCGATATTACTACTTCAAGCGGTGTTCATAGTAACTTCGAAATAAATTGCAAGTCACTGCATGTGTATCACTGAAATAAATTGCAACATAATATAAAATAATTAGAAAAAATAAGTAGACATGGTTTCTTAAAATACTTCCGTCAATCAGTTCCGCAAGGTTACGGAAATAGGTGACTGAAAATGATGTAGGTAGAAGATAGATAGATTGATAAAATACCAAATAATAAATCGCAGTAAGTTATATTACTCAAAATACAAACAGATGAATCCAAAAGCACTTATAATTAAGAAATTAAAGCTTTAATACCTGCTTTTTTACATAATATTATTAATAAATAAAAGAGGTTGTAGCAAACCGACCGGTACGTCACTCTCGCGGCCGTATGCCCGCTCGCTATACATAGTTAGTATCTATGTCCATCTTTTTAACAGTGTATAATCTATGTTCCGGGCGCTTCCGTTTTGAGTGCGAATAGCGTGCGCCCGCGTCTAAATGTAATTATTGTTTAAAATTGAAAATTGTTTGTGATAAAGGAAGATTAAAATTCGAAATTCGATATTGGTGACTAACCCATAGTTTTAAATACCCCTGAGATCTACCCCTCACTATAAGGTAAATATAAATAAAGCGATCAGTTTTTTTTTTAAATAAAATTCCTGAATACTTTAATAAACTTTTGCAAACTCGTGAATTTTGTAAGCCGCGAGCAGAATGAAGCAAATGTCATTTTGTTTTGAAAGGTTTTGTTTAATTTTTGGAGTTTATTGGAGTTTACTCCTTTAGAATCGATTTACATATATAGGCCCGGGGTATGAAAATTATGGGGACCAAAATCGTACTAGCATGTCACACGAAATGCGTTATGCGCCTGATTGGCTCCTGATTGCGTGATGCGTGCGCGCGCCAATCAAAATCGTACTAGCATGTCACACGAAATGCGTTATGCGCCTGATTGGCTCCTGATTGCGTGATGCGTGCGCGCGCCAATCAGGAGCCAACGCGCGGCCGCGTTATCGCAGGTGACGCCGGGCTGCTGCGCCGGCAGTCCGCCACAAAGCCTCGTACTGATCGCGCGTTTCTCTCATTATTGTATTTTCATATATTTGTTAGTCGTTTGTTTTGTGTCTCGTTAATTTGTTAATAATCTGTAGTGTATCGTGTTGTCGTAATATAGAACTATTTCTCGTATTGTTTCGTTTAATTTTTTATATCCAGTAAACTCCAGTCGTGCGTCGGAGCGGACACACACACTTTTTTTTTTTAAATTTTTAGACTTAAAATTTTCATAATTTATATTGTTCAATAAAAAATATATTTAATTATTTAATTTTAAAAATCCGTGCCAAAAAAGCGAAGACAAGTATCAGCATTTCCGGACACAACCAAGCTTATGCCACAATCGTGAGCTAAAAATTCATACATGTCAATTGTCAAAAATGAAAATAGGCAGGACAATACCTACCTGCCGAGTAACATCTAATGATTTTCCTATTTTGCGTATAATTTTGACTAATCTAATTCTTTCATCTATAACTTTGGCTTGAATGTTTGCCACATCAATATTAATAAATAATGGTTAATGTTCCATTTTGAGTCCCAGTTTTTTATGAATTTGATTCTCAGTCCCTACAAATGTACTTTATTGAACTAAAGATTTGACTAAAAGCCTAAAATCCACGTCATGGAATAATTTAAAAAAACATTTCAATAGGTCATCGGACCACAGCTGACGATTCGGCGGACTTTTTTTGACATGGCTTTGGCTTTTGGCTTCATTCATTATTTTGACATTTCGTGATTTTGATGTCAAGCGCTACGTATTTCTTTCATAAAAGTGATTTTCTATTAGTTTTAAGACATTTCTTCCATTTTTTCAATAAAAGTAAGGCTAACGGAGCCTAACGTCAAAACTTTCTTCAAGAAATAGGTTTCCGAACCCGAGAAATTCCGCGAGAACCATGTGACACGAATACGAAAAAGTGCCTTCGGACCGTCAATGTGACAGAAATGTTTTCTGCCATCGCGACGAACAGCAGCCGCTGTGGAACTGAGTCCGCCCCGAAGCGCGATCCTCGAACGGCGAAGTAGAGCGTGAGCAAAGATGAGCGCGAGATGGCCAGCCCACCACCGAACCCCCGAGAAGGCGAGCAGGGCCCCGAGCACGCCGAGGAGGCGAGCGCCAAAGGCGCGCCCGCCCCGCAGAAGAGGTTCGTAGCGCCGCCCGCCGAAGAGCTGCCTTCTAAGCTGCATTACGTGACCGTGAGCGCTCCTGGTCCGAGCGGAGTCAAAGCTACATTTCGCACGGTGAAGGTACCGCGTCGAGTTCCAACCCTGGGTGGAGTTCGGTCCCGCACAGAGGCCGCGGCAGCGCCGGCCACGCCCGCCCCTGCCGAGCCGCCTCCCGCATCTGAACGTACCAGGAAAGGCCGTCGGGACCATGCTAAGCGGCACGTCTGCAGTACCTGTGACAAGCGCTTCTCCAGCCCAGGAAAACTAAATCAACATGTATTGTCTCACACAGGTGAGCTGCCTTTCTCTTGTGATTTGTGTGAAAAGCGATTCAATACTAGGTTCAAACTTGCTCGTCATGGGCTCATTCACAGTGAAGCTAAAGCATTTGCATGCAATGTTTGTGGTAAAACATTCAATCGGAAGGATCATCTCACCAATCATGTCAGAGTCCATAATCCTATTAAGAAATTTTATACATGTGAGAGACCTGATTGTAGGAAGTCATACACATCTAACTTGAGTTACCGCAAACATGTTGCATTGCACTCAGCGGAAGAAGGGAATTTGCAATGTAAAATATGTAATGCCACTTTCAGCACAAGGCAGGAAATTGTTTATCATCTGAAGGTGCACACTGGCAGTCGAACTTTAAAAAGTGAGACTGATAAAAAGTTTACTTGCAGCTACTGTGAGCGAAGGTTCTTTACAGCTAAGGATGTTAGACGGCACTTAGTGGTGCATACAGGTAGACGTGATTTCTTATGTCCGTTCTGCCCACAAAAGTTTGGGAGAAAAGATCACTTGGTTCGCCATGTTAAAAATGCACATCCTGATGAATCTTGGAAATCTGCTGCTGTTGGTACATCCAGTGAACCACCACCAGAGGCATCTGCTTTTGAGGAAACATATAGTGAGTTTGCTTTAGAAGGAACAGACTTTGGAATCTGGAAGCCACCATCACCAAAGGTGACCACCCCAGAGGGTAGAACACGTGTGCCCTCTACTGACATAATTGTGGAAATACCTCCATTAGACCCATCTGAAATAAAAGTGGAGCCACTGGATATTAAGGATTCTTTAAACATTAAACAAGAAGAAACGCAATCACAAAATTGTGACCTCCTTGAGAATGTTGAGTACCCACCAATAATTTGGAATCCTTCATATTTGAGCCCACAAGATTTAATAGTTTCAGAAAATGTTGAATCTTATGGACTGCTCGATCCAGGTGAAGGCCCTTCAGGCCTGTCGAGCCAGATTTTGGGACTCTTGGATGATAGGGAGCCTTCTTATTCAGGTGAAGATGGTCGTGTTCAGCAACAACGCTTGCCAGCTTTCACACAGGCTTTTCAGACAGCACAGAGCCCGAAACCGCCAAAACCACCACCCCCACCGCACTAGCACTCTAGGTTTACTTGGGTGACAAACAAATAGCTGAGTGCAATGCATTAGTCAAGACTCAAGGGTGAGATTTCTGCATTTACTGAATACCGAACTACCTCATTAGGTAATGTGGACTATTTTTGTAAATAGTCTGAGTGCAGTAGTAATACAAAAAAGTTTTGGACTTGATATTGGACCTTAAATGCTAGTTATTGAAAAATGGAGGTAACTATCCTCATGTTAAAATTGCCAAATTGTATATTTGTACATTCAGGTATACCAAAATGTTTCCGAATTCTACATGAATATGTGATCTAGTCGTGTATGTACTTTCGGAATTGTATAATGTTTATTTATAGCGTACATGTATGACGTTTTATGGAGTATAAATGGGACCAACTCTGTGAGCTAGGTGGAATACAGTTAGTTAGATGATATTAGACCGTTTGAGTTTTCTTTGGGTTGGCAGCAATGTAATGTCGAGCAGATGTCTTGCAGGTGTCTTGAAAGTACATGGCTCTTGAAGGCGGCAGGCTATTATAATATGTTTCAGAGAGGCTTGTCGCTTTTACGCGCAATAAAACACAACAGAGCATGTGTCTTTCAATTAAAATTAAGTGTAAGTACTGCCAATATAACATCAGATCTGCATTAAAGTTATGAGTGTATCATCCGTATGTTACGTGTTCTGTACAGAGTAATGAAGGCTTTATAATCAGGGTTCAGTTTCCTTCTATACTCAGAATGAATTTGAAGCCCAAACTCAGAAACGTTGAGCTAGAAAAGTGCAATAAACATGATGAAGAAAATTATCTCAGAAGCTAAATTGCTTTGGAAAAAAAAATTTAGGTCGAGTCTGATCAGCAAAATGTATACTTAAATAAAATTTCATTAATATCATTAAAAATGTGCCAAAAAATTCAATGCAAAAAAATCAGTCTCATAGTATAATTTTGCTTGTCGGATCATTCGGAAAAGCCTTATTTGTAAATTTTTGATTTCATTTGTGTCGGACCACATGGGAATTATTTCAAACTTAAAATTTACATTTCGAAATGTTAATTTTAAAATAGTTTTTGTTTTGGCGTATGTTTTAGGATTATGAGCCAAATTTATGTAATTTGTGTAGTAATGTGTTAAGAGTGTGTTTGGTGTCAGGTGATTGTATATATAATATTAAAAAAACTATTTTTAATTAGGTGCCTTAAAAATCCAGCAACATACTAATGATTATTAAAAGGTAATTTATAAAACTTAAAAAAAAAAAGGAAATGTTTCTATTTTGTATGGTATAGTTGTTTAAGTCTAGTTTGAAAAAAAGTCAATGAGTAAAAAAACTGGCACCTAATTTCTATGTTTCTTTGCTGTTCAGAAATCACAAGTTTTTTTTTTATGATCACATTTTGGCGATTTGTAAACGTTACAGACAGGGATTTCAGTTTTTTTATGTATAAAAAAATATTTTTTTTTATCGCTTTCGTTGAATAATATTATAATGCAATGATTCTTCTAAAGTTTCCACTTGCTAAGTGGTAGTCCTGACACATATAATGTGCTAAATCACATGTTAATTTTTAAGGAATCTTCATTATTGTTTTTATATGTTTGATGTCTATTCACAGCACGGATAGAACTGTAAACTAGAGATCCGATGTTGTAATCGTAGTAATATGTATATAATTCTAATCTTTTGTTTTAGGTTAATAGGACTGTAAAAAAATTAAATCTACCTCAGAAACAACTTATCTTGTAGAAAATAATAAATATGTTAGGTTAGTGAAAAAAAAATTAAATTTTTTTTTCTACTTTATAAATACAGCGACAATAAGGCAGTTTTATGACATCTACATTGTCTTAATTCGTTTTAAATTAATTTTAGTGTGTGCTGCAATATCGAAATCTTATTTGATAAAATTTGAAAAAAAATTATATGATATATTCGTTTTTTTTTTCTTGCTCTTTAAGAGTTTTCTTCGAGTTACATTGGCATATTAACAAAATTAATTTTCCAATCAAGATTGGGAGATAAGTAAAAAAAAAAATACAAAAAAAAAAAATTCAAACAAAACAAAAATGAATCAGAAAAGATTTCGTGAAAATGTTTTTTTTTAATGCTTGACAAAGTACAATTTTAATGTACATTGAAAGTTTTATGAGAAATATTTTCACAATACATTTTATTCCTAAGGTAATAGACTGATAAATGTTCAAACACATACACAGAAAAATGAAATTTAAAGCACTGGCGAATTTATAATAACAAACATGTTTCTTTTTCAGCTACACAATTGTACAAGTCAACGCAATTTTTGAATCTTATTAATATTTGGTTTCGATCATCTTTGGTGTTGAGTGAACGTTACAGATAAAATTGCACGATATCCTAATTTAAATATGCCTCATGTTACGTGTTTCAATAACTTTAATTGCTGGTAACATTTCGTTTTGTCGGTCTATTACCTATCCACCTAGTCATATCACAGCAGCACGTGAACCAGTAAAATATGCATTTTTATATTTAATCTCATAAAACAATATATAGTTAAACAGACTTACGAGAAAGCGCATTTTTTTTACATAAAATTAATGTTATATATAAATAAATCAAATATTGGACAGTACATAATAATTACAACGATTTATCCCCATAAAATATTTCTACTAAAATATTTAACGCTAGACCACCATAGTTCAGGTTTACTGCAATATCATTTTAGAACAATTATTTTATAAGAGCATATTAAAATATAATATATAGCACTTTTAGAATTAAAGTGGCTTAATTAAAAATTCTAGTTTTTTGGTAAAGGTCAAAATCGTAATTGAATAATTATAATTTTTCAGTTTCGATTTTAATACTTTAAGCCTTAAAGCGCATAGGCACCTTAAACTGTCAGGTATGCGCTTGATTTATAAGAGACGGAAAGTGTACTTTGTCCTTTTCTAGACTAAAATATAAATTTAATTTTTAATTTTATAAACTGATAGAATACATGCATAAAAGTCGTTCAAAGTATAAAACACATTCTAATTAAAAGTTTAATAAGTTTAATTTTTAGATAAGCCACTTCAATTCTAAAGATGCGATATATATAATCAGAACTAGAAAGTTATATTTTTGCAATAAATTATTGGTATTTTTTTTACAACGACATTAATGCAATATGTTTTTTTTTTGTTAATTTATTTGTCTGAATTTGATAACATATCAAAGAACTACCATAAGTATGTACATATAACCATTTTACTTGACCTTGATGCTGGATTTGAATATCACGAAATAATTTATTTAAATATGATGTGGGTTTTATCGTATATTTTCATAAAATTATATTATAATGAGTGTTTCCATTTTTATAGTAATTATACATTTCAGATTATATTTTTAATTGATGCATCATGTCGACAAAATGGCCATTAATTTTTTTGTGTATCTAACCAAGCACTGAAAGTGTTCACTTTCGTTTTTTTTCTTCCTCAGAATCTTTACGCATAATTATTGTTGTAATATCGCCCAGTTTTTATTGTTTTTATTACCTGCGAATGAGTGTGACTCATTTCTTTTTTAATTTATTATAATAAATAACACGAATAATATGTTGTAATACATACCAAATAAAATTAATTATATTTTTTTTTATATGTGCTTACATCTGTAGAGTTTCGAATATTTTTACTATTATTTTGTTTGTAAGTTTTGGTAACTGCAACGAAATGGCTACGAGTAATGAGTATGTGTCATAATGATAACGTGACATACACAAAATGATAACAATCATTTAAATGATATTCTGAAAAGTGTGTTGTAAAAAAATGGTTACACAAATGGCCTCCTGGTCTATTAAAGAATGCCGCTTAAAATTGCTCGTAGCTTTTAAATTATGTAAAATTGTTCAATAGTTATACGATATACGTAATTTTGGTACATAAAATAGGGGCCTTATTAATTAAATAATAAATAAAAAAATAGATTTGTTTGAAGTAAAAAAAAAAGAAGAGAAAAAAACTATTTTTAGAATACTATGATATTTTTTAATATAGAAATGATCTATTTTTGTTACGCTTTTACGAAAGTAATAAGGCATTTCTTTTTGGATGTTTAATTATTTTTTTTATAACAACATTAACATGGAAACTTGCAAAAGAGTGGCAGAATCGACATTGGAATCTAGTTATTTCCAATTAGAAACAATATTTTTGTAAAATTCTTAAAAAAATACATTAACTATTAAATCCTTAAAATTCCACAGATTTTAATGATAAATCTAAATAACGTTTTTAACCCCTTGTCCTCGGTCCAGTAGTAACAATGAAAGTTTGTAGGATGTGGACTGCAGTTTATGATTATATGAATACGGAAGTTACCTGATTTCCAATGTTGCCAGCCATAAAAAACAAATTCACAGTGTTCAAATTAGTAATATACTAACCAAGACCGAGGGATGCCATCGCAGGAGAACCCTAATAATTATAAACAATTGTACCTGGTTTATAATAACATTATGTAAATGGTCTTCATTGTAATAAATATTTGGAACATCCTTTCGTTTTTATTTATCAAACATAAATCCCGATTCACATGAATTCTTTCACTGTGTTAGTTACGTAAAGTTTAAAGAAAAAGCTATGGGTTTAATGGAAATTTGTTGTATTATTACTAGTAGCTTTGAAGGATTATTCTGTGTGCTTAGTGCGAGTTTTTTTAATGTTCTCGATAGTAAAAAGTTAACCCAATTTTGTATGCAGTTGGAACAGCGCCCCTAGCGGCAAACGTAGGCAAACGATTCCATTCTATACAAATATGAGCTAACTTTTACGTTATCGACAACGTTAAAACACTCGCACTAAGCACACTGGTTTCATACAACTGGCGGGGACGAGCTCTAGAGACTATCTCATCATCAGATAATATCTGCCTTAGCAAAAGCAGTGTTTGGCTGAATCTACCATCGGGTTCGAATCGTGGCCTACAGATCTGGCGAGAAATTCAGTGGGTTGGTTACATACTTCATAGACGCGAGCTTACGTCTATTTATTATTAGTTATTTACGGGGATCCATAGAAATTACAAAGGGAATATCGTGACGTCATTAGTGAGGTATCTATTACAATGGTATATCGCACTTCAATCAGTGCAGGCAACCTCGTCTTTGACGTCATTTCCATTTGTGTAACGATGGCATAAAAATCTATATTAAACTTTTCGAATTTAATTGTTTTATATTTGTATTTTATTGTACATTGATACAGAGGACATCGTAGTCGTTTCGAATGGCCATAGCTTTATGTACAGGATGGGAAAATAGTTGTCGATACTATTAATTACCACCGGACAGTAAATAGAGATCTCATATATAACTATACTATTGATGAGGCATTCAATAGCACATTTACGCCGGATATCCTGTCCACACATTTAAAATCTGATTGCACTTCGAAGCCCAAATTGAATGTCAATTCATTAATGTTGTAGTAGTCTCATTGAAAGCGCATGTAAAAGTTTACCTAAATAAAAATTAACTTTTTTAGCTTGTTAAATGTTTTTAGTTATTAAAGCTAATGAGGATATTAAGTAAATAGTTTTTATTATAATTTGAACAGATTTATTGAACCAATTCAGATACCCTAAGTAATCCATTTAGTGTGGGTTAACAATTAACGAGAAAAAAATCACCACAAAACAACTATATTTTGGTATATTTCCCTATCTAGACATTGCATTGACAAGCAACATTAATTATGTAGTAAATATGAATGTTATTAAAATACAATTGACTTTATATTTCATCAAGTCACAAATGAATAGAGAACTAAACACAAAATAACATTTCTATATATTCTTTCTTTAATTTATACAAACATTTTTTACATCAAATACAATTGTGATTTTTCGTGTTTATAAATATATATATAAATATTTAAATCACTGAGGATTTCAACAAATCACATAATAATATTATAATAACGCTTGTCACATTGAGCGTTAATATAAAATTTATTACGTTCGCCTATTGTTAAATTAATGTTTTCGTCAATAAATAAAAATATATTCTACATATTTATCTTGATTACAAAGTTATCCCGTTTTATCAAAACTATACGTTTAACAAACGCGCACGCACCGACAGCGAATCACACGGAATATTTAGAAAAATATCGTTTTCTCAGTCATAAAATAAAAAAACAGTTTTTATTTTTTAAATGCACCTTTTTCACCGGTCACCAAGAGACGAGGAATGTTCGTTTATCGCCTGCCTGACCTTACCGGTCTCCGTCGGTTTGTTCCTGAGCGGCATGCCGTCTAGGCTCGGCGGTTCGTTGTCGGACCTCGTCAGATAGAGCGGGTTGTCGTAGGCGTCGTGATCGGAGCCGTCGAGTCCGGTGTTGGCGAGGCTTTGACGCGGGCTCGTCCCCTGAATCCCCGTAGTTCCCGTTCGGCTCGTGTCGCTTGTACTGGTAAGTGACGTCATCGTCCGAGTCTCCGGACGCCCGAGAGATCTTCCGCCCATTGATGTTCTGAAGCGACTGGTTCTTCTGCAGTTCGGCTGCTTGTATGCTGTCTCTGATGTCAGCTTCTGAAGTGGACTTCGAGCAGTAATCTTCCTTGTCCGACTCCGAGTACTTCCTCGAGAGGCGCCTGTTGTCGAGCGTGGTCTCGATCTGATGGCAGCTGTGCGATCTAATCTTGACCTCGGGCCCACCTCCGTAGATGTCCACGAAGAACCTCCACAGCTCGTGGTTGAGCTGAGCGTGGTCGGAGCCCTGCTTCAGGGTGTACGTCACAACGCCGTCGACGTCCTGGAAAAATAAATAAAAAACCCTTAATCATCTAGATTTTTCCAATCATATTTCCTCAGCCAGTCTAATTGTAATAAAAACTTATCTTGTATTCATATTTATATACAAACTAACTAACCCGGCAAACTTCGTAGTGCCTCAATCGAGAAATAAAAGACCTGAACTTTTGTATAAAATAAACTTAAAACAAACAAAAGGAATCCGTCCGACGGGGGACCTATCAAAGGAAAAACCAAATTGTTATTTTTATTTAATTCTGAAGATTTTCATATTTATCTACCTTTTAAACCTTCTCTGGACTTCCACAAATAATTTAAGACCAAAATTAGCCAAATCGGTCCAGCCGTTCTCGAGTTTTAGCGAGGCTAACGAACAGCAATTCATTTATCATAATATATAGATAGATAGATGGTGGCTTATTGGATTATTCACAATAGATATTACTTTTACACATTGAAAAAAAAAAAAACATATTTGTTATAAAAAAAAGACGGAATTAGTTCTTCTGACAGACTTTTATAAACACTTTTAAAACATATTCATTGCTTACCCTTGCAAGTTTACAAAATGCTTTACAATCACCAGGTTAGTACAATCTACAATGTACGTCGTGAACAGTAAGTTAACTATGCACAGGAGTTTACACTAAACGGCCACGGATTAGATTCCCTCAACGATGCGTGCATTACTGTTTCATACCTGCTTGGTGACGATGCCGCTGTTGTCGACGGGCGGCGGCGGCTGCGGCGACTTGTTCCGGACGAACGCCTGCCACTGCCGGAACCAGTGCATGCTCACAGCGTACAGAGCGCACGGCTGCTCTTGTTCCTGGCAACACACAGAGACATATAACATCGCAAAAAATCTTAGAAAATGACCACCATTTTACTGAGATTATATTTCATCCCATTTCATTTCATTTAATTTCATCCCAGTTGATTAATGTCTCAAATTAATCATCTTCATATCATTTCACTCCATAATATCATTTTTCATAAAAATATGAATATAAATTAAAATAAGACATGACTTAAAGGTCTCAGTTACCAGGTCATAAAATCCATTAAAAAAAAATTATAACATCGCATATTGAGAAAAATTCTCAGATGTTAATACGTGATGGAAAAACTTTGTACCCCTGTTTACGAAAATTACGCGACGGAGGAGCATGTTTTTTTTTTATAACTTAGACGGGTGGACGAGCTCACGGCCATCTGGTGGTAAGTGGTTACTGGAGCCCATAGACATCTACAACGTAACTGCGCCACGCACCTTGAGATATAAGTTCCAAGGTCTCAGAATAGTTACAACGGCTGCCCCACCCTTCAAACCGAAACGCGTTACTGCTTTACGGCAGAAATAGGCAAGGTGGTGATACCTACCCGTGCGGACTCACAAGAGGTCCTACCACCAGTATGTAATTACCCGCAGAGCTCTGAAACTGGGATACTTCTTCTTCTTTACTTTTTGGCTCCGGCACGGTTTGTGCATTAGCCAGCGTCAAGTAATAAGATTTCTATAATTCGCCGTTTTAATAATTTACAGTTTTAGTTTTTACAGATGAAATATAATCATCTCAGTAAAATTGTGGTCATTTACTGAGATTGTTTTCAGTGGACTTTTTGGAGGATCCCGGGAAGCTACGTCCAGCGGCTTTGTTTCATTTTCCCACGTTTGTGCACTTTCAGATTCTAAACAGTTAATAAACCACCGTTATTACACATTTACACCTGAAGATACACTAAATAGACAAAATAAAACAAATCACACAACGTCACTCATCGCGTTCCCACCAAAAAGTCCAACTGCGATACTTTAAGACAAATATTTTTTGTATGGAAACTAGCGACATCTTGTAACGGATGCCCCTAAGCTTATATCTTATTAAAGTTAAGGAATTTAACTATTGTAAAATTAAACACAGAAAATAAAAAAATAAAACCATACAAATCTTTATTTGTTTTAGACAAATTGATTAAATTTTATCTATTTGTGGTTTCTGAAAATTTACGAAATCCTTCATTAAAAATAAAATATAAGATAGGTAATATGTTACGGCCATCTACAGGAACAATGAGAAACTAATCGACGCTTAGCCATCTAGTGTCCGACGCCCGTAAACAAATTTATTGGGTGCTTGAGTTGTTTATTTATAACTTCTTCTTCTTAGGCGCATACTTCATTGCTAAAGGTCGCATCCCTGAAAGGCTTTTGTGGCTCTTTGTACCATCAGCTTTCCTTTAGTTTGGTTTTCGGCCTCTCTCAGGGCGGTCACAACACAGAGTCCGGTGAGCACAGTTAGCCTGATCTGACCAACGGTTAGGCGGCCGGGCGGCGGGTTTTTTCCCTTCTATCTTATTATATATTATATAATATATTATAATATTTTTATAATAAGAAACTTCATTCCTATCCGGTGTCCCCCGACACCACACATTTTTAAACTAATTTATGTCGACACTTGAAAGACAAACGTGACTAAGCGACAATAACTGCTTTGTACATAAATGATAGGCAATTATATAATAACCATATTCGATGCGCAAAAAATATATATTTCTAGGTCTATTAAAATCATTTCAATCCAGCTAGATTCGTTAAAATATTTTTTTTTCAGGTATTTCAACTTTAAATTAGTCTACTGTAAAGTTCACGCATTGTCGCTTAGTCACGTTTGTCTTTCAAGCGTCGATGTGTATTATCTATGGTTACCTGGAAGGCGGCGTGCAGGGCGGAGAAGGCGTGCAGCTCGGCTGCGGCCCGCGCCCGCACGCGCCTCGCCGCGCGCCCGCACGCGCCGCACGCCGCGCACGCACGCACCGCCGGCCCACCACCGAACCTGCAGATCAACCCTCCACATAACTACAACGTACGATCTAACTGGCTGCAGCTGCCAGTTTTTTTTCCTACCTATGTTGATAGCCTTGAGAGGTTATTTCAGCTTCACCCTAACGTTTGTAGGTGAGCTCATGGGGCTTAAACCGGAGTGTTGCTAACACTGACCCTAACAAGAGCAATACTTAGCAGAATTTACCACCGAATCGGAAACGCGACCCACTGAGAAGATCCGGCGAGAAACTCAGTGGGCTGTCTATGGGTTAATTCGCTCGTCGAGCCCTTCGTCGCAAGCGACGGGTTCGACGAGGACGGTGACCGGAAACTGCTGCCAGATACAAAAAATGTGTGTGTGCAAGTCACACACGGTAGAAGTGAAACTTATAAATAAGATATAGATATACTGACTATTCCCCTACACAGGTGCATACATATGGACAATGTTTAGTAGACAATAGTGGGGATGCTACGAAGAGTCGCACAAAAAGGAGACCGAGAACGTCTAATGTGTTCTATCTCATTCTCTCGCCGATTGAATCCTATACATTTACGTGTTTGTGTCTCTATGGACTTATTTTTTCGTTTCATCGAGTTTGAAATCACAACGATTATAAAGAAGTTTCACTTCAATGAACATCAAAAATTCGATTTTGTGTTTTGACCTAAGTTTTCCTGTAGATACTACCAGCTATAGTGTTGCGTGTATACCGCAAGTCTTAAATCTGAGAATTGTATATACAACTGATTAGGAGTTAGGTTAATAAAATCAAACTAGATGGCGTTAGTGGTTTCATTAGCTTTGATTTCGTGCGTAGTTGGTAAAGTAGGTGTAGGTATAGGTATGGCGCCGTGCCGCTTGTTCCTGCTGGTGTCGCGAAGACGACAGTAAGATTCATCGGAGGGCGGGCGGCAGATTTCTCAGGGGTACTGAGATAAAAAAAAAACCTACCTATTCTAGTAACCTCGACGGGTTATTCTAGATTCACCGAGCTAGTAGGTGAGCTCACGGGGCTCAAACCGGGAGCGTTGCTAGCACTGGCCGTAGCAAGAGCAGTGCTTCGCAGAAACTACCACCGGAGTACTAAGATCGTCTGAATAGTATTACGACTTTTTATATTACATTATCCGTGCACTTTAGTTCCTCACTAAATTTTAACTTGAAAATTGGGCAATAATTAGCGGAAAGTTGCCAGAAAATGAAAATTAATACAATTTCGGAATTTTAGTTTAAGCATTACATTAAAGTAGGCAGTACGTACTGTTTGTGTAGGAAGTCCCAGAGCGCCGGTGGTAAGGCGACTGCTAGAGCGGCCAAGTACGGCTCTCTGTCCGGCCTCACTTCGCCGTGCGAGCACACGAAGTCGCTGTTGTCCACGGGCCCTGGTTCCGCCCACGTGTTGAACCTGCACAGCAATAACGTCCCAGTTTACGTTCAGAACGCAGCAACAAAGTCAAATAGTTCGAGTTATAATTTACGTATTTATTGTTGGTGGTAGTATTTGGTAGGTATATTGCGTACTGGTGGTAGGAAGTCTTATGAACCCGCACGCGTAAGTACCACCGCCCTGCTTATTTCTGCCATGAAGCAGTAATGCGTTTCGGTTTGAAGGGTGGGGCATTTACGCTGTAGATGTCTATGGGCTCCAGTAACTACTGAACATTAGGTGGGCTGTGAATTCAGCCACCCATCTATGCAATAAAAAATAATTAAAAAAAAATCTTCGGAAGTCACACTCTTCATTACCCACAGTTGTCCACTGCTGGACATAGGCCTTTCTCAATCCAGACCATTGAGCTCGGTGTTCGACTCTCCTCATCCAACTCTTACGGATCACCGTTCGGAGGCCATCGCACCACCTAGCCAGGGGGCGTCCCAGGAAATCACACTCTTGAGAGGGTAAAATTAGGGATGAAGGATTTTGGAAGGCTTGAAGGAAATTCTTCATTAGCAGGTTTGTAAAAATTACGAAATATCTAATCTAATAAATATTTCACATCTACATGGGTAATAAATTTTGAAAATACACGTATAAAGAAATCAAGCCACTACATATTACATAATAATTTTTATACTAACTTGTTGATCCATTGCTTTGAAATATAATATTTAGGGTCGTTCGGTCCAATACTCGCTGATTCCAATATCTCGGCGGCTTTCTCTCTCAGCACGGCCATTTGGGGATTGACTTTTCTTTATAACAAAAAAAAAAAAACAATAAATGTCAATTATCCTATTTACTTCGACTAGAAAGCGAGCAAGCCCTTCGACTAGAAAGGTTAGTGAACACGATGAGTGCGCTATGGGGGCAGAACTTGTTTTAACAATTTTTTGTTCATTGTTCCAGTCAAGCTAAAGGCTTTTCCCAGCTCAAGATGTTATTGTATGTGTGTAGTCCTTAGTATGACAGTTTTGTCCTATTATCGTCCCCGTCGAACCCGTCGCTTGCGACGAAGGGCTCGACGAGTAAACACAGACACAGCCCACTGAGTTTTCGCCGGATCTTCTCAGTGGGTCGCGTTTCCGATCCGGCGGTAGATTCTGCAAAGCACTGCTCTTGCTAGGGTCAATGTTAGCAACGATCCCGGTTTGAGCCCCCCGAAAGCTCACCTACTAGTTCGGTGAATCTAGAATAATCCCTCGAGGTTACTAGGAAAGGGAGGGGAAAAAAATAGTACTTTTAAAAAAAAAAAATTGCTTAGGTAGCTGGACGAGCTCATAGCCCACCTGGAGTTAAGTCCATAGACATCTATCTACAACGTAAAAGCGCCACCCACCTTGAGATATAAGTTTTAAGTCTCAGTTAAAGCCGAAACGCATTACTGCTTCACGGCAGAAATAGGCAGGGTGGTGATATCTACCCGTGCGGACTCACCATACCTCCTACCACTAGTAAATTTCTTAATCTATGATTAAGTGTGTTATTGACATTGGCCCCAAATGACGTCACGCATGACGTGAAGCTGCGCGTCACCTGTAGAAGAGCACGTAGGCCTCGGCGGCGGCGAGCTGGTGCACGTGCAGCGGCGCGACGGCGTGGTCGTCGAACGAGTACCAGCCGGCGCCGGCGCGCACCGCGCACGTGTAGTGCCCGCCGCCCGCCGTGCCCGTGTGGCTGATCACCGCCGCCAGCGAGTACCGCGACACGGACGAGGTGCACTCTGTTATACACACACACTTTCTTCAGTGTACGCTCGACGAACGAAATTCGACCTTAATTACGAATACCTTAAGATTTAAATTCATTATACGTTTTTTTTTTCGTGGCGTATAAAAGGGGATTGCATGCAGCAGAGATACGAATGTTGCGATGGATGTGTGGAATAGAATACGGAATGAATATGTTAAAGGAAGTCTGAAAGTGGCACCAGTAACAGAGAAGCTGAGAAGTGCGCGTTTGGGATGATATGGACATGTGATGAGACGAAATGAAAATGAGGTTGGTAAGAGAGTGTTAACTATGAATGTGGAAGGATATAGAGGAAGAGGTAGACCTAAGAAGAAACGTATGGATTGCGTGAACGACGATATGTGTAAGATATGTAGTATAAATGCTACATATAAATATATATATATTACTAGCTGACCCGGCAAACGTTGTGTTGCCTTAAATAAGATTTCTAGGGAAATTCTACTGTAGAAACCTCATTTAACCACATAATACCTCATTATAAACAAAAAAATATATCCAAAAAATTAAAATAAAAAATAAATGTTTGGGGTGGACAACCCTTTTCACTTAGGGGTATGAAAAATAGATAGTAGCCGATTCTCAGACCTACTGAACATACTATTGATACACAAATAAAACAAAAAAAACATGGCTGAAAAATGTAGAGTATTGTATAGCTCTCAAATTATATATTAAGTGTATACTATGTATATTACAACAATCAGCCAATCAAGGCATATATATAAACAAATGAATGAATAATAACAAGACAAAACAATGACGCAATATCAATCAACAAAGTCAAAGATTACCAACGTAACTTTTTTTTTACTAAAGAGTAGCGACGAAAACTAAACATACCGCCATCTCGCGAGTTTTTAAGTAATTAAACATTTAACTGGCAATGCCGTAATATTGTGAGTACATTCAGCTAATTCTAAATATTTTTTTTTTTACCAAAACAGAAAAAATCGCAAGTCGATTTTCAAGGGTAAAATATCGATTCACTGAATCGATTCAGTACGACATATCGATTTAAAAAATCGATTTATTTGGTCCGAGAAATCGATTCTTCGATTAATCGATTTGAGATCGACATCCCTAGTGTATAGTCTATGATGTATAGTGAGTAAGTAAGACAGGAGACCGGCTTCGTCCTCATCCCTACTACGTGATGTTGCTGGATGAGTGGTGACACCTGGCGGGGATAGCTGATCAATTGATAGTTGATCAGTAGTCGACCGGCGAGGGCGGGAGATCAAATTCAATTTAAAAAAAATCATAATTAAAGGAACTTGAAATTATAAACTCTGAATAAGAATTTATCGTACTAAAATTATAAAATTTGATTGCCATCTTGCAACCTTATTGCAGATCTGTGCATAGAAAAAAATATATTAATCGGGGTGGAAAAATAGGGGTTGATCATTTAAGAGTGAAAATTGAGAGTAATATGATTTTTTTTATTTTAATTCATAACAAAATAAAATAAAAAACTTGCCGAAAAAATTAAAGTTTATAATTAACAAATAAAAAATAGCGGTTGATCATAGAGGGATGAAAAATTGAGAGTAACATCAGATTTTTTATTTTAATTCATGACGAAATAAAAATAAAAATGAAAATCTTGGCAAAAAAATTAAAATTTTTAATTAGCAAATAAAAAATAAGGGTTGATCGTAGAGGGGTGAAAATTTAGAGTTGTATGTTTTTTGTATGCTGTATCATAAAAAAATAGAAATTAAAAATGTTGTCTAAAAAATAAAAATAAATTTTTAGGGATGGACTACCCCTAACATTTAGGGGGATGAAAAATAGATGTTGGCCGATTCTCATAGATACCGGATAAGCACAAAAAATTTCATCAAAATCGGTCAAGTCGTTTCGGAGGAGTATGGCAACGAAAACTGTGACACGAGAATTTTATATATTAGATAGATTTAAAGTGACTACAACCATCCTACTTATTTTTGGTGAGAAACAAATGTGCATTCGCGATTGAAAGGTAAATTGAATTTTACTGCAATGTATTTGAAACCCTTTGCCTCATACGAAAGAGGCTGGCAACATTCCGACGGTGATATCACGTGAGGACTTTTGGCGGGAACGCGAGGAGTGAAGTTGTGTGATTTGTTTTATTTTGTCTAATTAGTGTTACTTCAGGTTTAAATGTGTAATAACGGTGGTTTATTAACTGTTTAGTATCTGTGAAAGTGTACAAATGTGGGAAAATGAAACAAAGCCGCTGAACGTAACTTCTCGGGATCTTCCAAAAGGTCCACTGAAAAAGTCTTAGTAAATGACCACCATTTTACTGAGATTATACTTCATCCCACATCATTTCATGCCACGTTTCATAATAATGAACTTCATTTCATTTCATAATATCATTTTCATATAAAAAAGTTACGTATTATTAAAATAAGACTTGACCTAAAGGTCTTAGTTACCAGGTCATAAAATCTCTTAAAAAAAAAGATATCACGTGACTGTTGTTTTCTCTAGCGTTCACCTTTGTGCGTGTAAGGCGTCATGTCCAGATCGTTGATGGGGAAGGCGACCCTGGCGGCCACCTTGGCGCTGAACAGCAGCTCGTGCCGGAAGCGCTTCAAGTGGACGCACAGCACCTCCGGTAGCACCACGATGCCGGATAGCTTCACGCCGTTACGTAATTTCTTGCAGCGGGAGCAGCTGCCGATACAGATAACGTAATCTTTAGTATCTTCTTAAAATTAGATTGAAGACGATTTAAAGAAAGTAGCAACTACAAAAGGGTTAAAATTGCGCAATCCAGAGAAGATTGGCTATCCTTGGAGGAGGCGTTTATCCGAGGAGGGGTTCTTACAAGTGGGAAATAATACCTAATATTATTCAATAAACATATTATTTATTAGTTAAGAATTGCATTAATTGTAGTTTTTATGTCAAGTTTTTATGCCACTTGTACGAAATAAAAGGATTTTTTATTTTTTTTATTTATTTAAGATTAGATTACCAATAATAAAAGCAATCAAGTGGTCTAGCCAACCCAGAGACACAGCCCACTGAGTTTCTCGCCGGATCCTCTCAGTGGATCGCGCTTCCGATCCGGTGGTAGTTTCTGCGAAGCACTTGCTCTTGCTAGGGCCAGTGTTAGCAACACTCCCGGTTTGAGCCCCGAGAGCTCACCTCCACGTCAAGAAGAAGCTGAAATAGCCTCTCAAGGCTATCAGTATAGGTAAGAAAAAAAAGGTCTAGCCAATAATTTTTTCCATTATGATGTTATTTCCTCCTAATATTCTTTCTAATTCTTTCCTAATTTCATAGTAGTGATACACCAGTTTGTTACCAAACTTACTCTCCCATTGTTTGTAGAGCGGCTGGTGTAATATCGACCTAGTCGTGGTTCATTTACAGTTTATTTAAGGGTACTTATACCACAATTAGTTAATACCTGTACATGTTGTCGCCTTTGAGTTCGTCGGCGCTGAAGAAGGCGGCCAGACAGTCTTGCAACGACACCACCGGCCCGTAGAACCAGGACCGCAGCCAGCTGAGCAACCACCACACCTGTACCACATAATAATCAACTGTGACAAGTTTTTAAAAAAACTAGTTTTTTTTTTCTACCTAAGCCTTGAGAGGCTATTTCAGCGTAGCCTTAGCTAGTAGGTGAGCTCACGGGGCTCAAACCTGACTACGTTGCTAACACGAACCTTAGCAAGAGCCGTGCTTCGCAGAATCTACCGCCGGATCGGAAACGCGACCCACTGAGAAAATCCGGCGAGAAACTAATTGGGGCTGTGTCTGAGGGTTAATTTACTCGTCGAGCCCTTCGTCACAAGCGATGGGTTCGATGAGAACGGTGACTGGTGCTTGAGGTACCTGTAAGCACCGTTAGACATGTTTAGGGCGACGTTGACGGTTTACCATTCGGTCCACAGGATCGGGTATGTACTTTCCGGCGGTCACGACAAGAAGATTTTCGTGTCGTGGCACTTGTGTACCTATTTGCCAGTAGCTTCTATTAGTAGGCTTAGTAGGCCAGCTTTCCGGGCTCAGCCCTTTTTTTTATTGCTTAGATGGGTGAACGAGCTCACAGCCCACCTGGTGTTAAGTGGTTACTGGAGCCCATAGACATCTACAACGTAAATGCGCCACCCACCTTGAGATATAAGTTCTAAGGTTTCAAGTGTAGTTACAACGGCTGCCCCACCCTTCAAAAGCATTACTGCTTCACGGCAGAAATAAGCAGGGCGGTGGTACCTACCCGTGCGGACTCACAAGAGGTCCTACCACCTGAGAGAGTTTCTAACACCAGTCCTACCACCGGATCGGGATGTGTCCCATTATATTTATGCTCGGAGGCAAAGTGAGTCATACCCAGGACTCCTGTGCGTTGTGGGCCGCGTGGTGGTTCAGCATGGGCTGCTGGCAGCGCAGCACGGCCAAGTGTTCCCGGGACGGGATCGGCAGCGACAAGTCTTGGAATGTTTCTATTCTCGTTGATACCTGGTTAACGTAATTAGATTTTCATTGTGATGTCTAATGATTTTCTGGTGTTACTTCTTAATATTTACTGATATTCACAGTTATTTCTGTTGCTAAAAGTAATAAGAGTGGATATTTATTTATTTTTAAATTAAAATTAATTTGCAAAAGGAACGTCACGTTTTTGACCAAAAAATATGGCAAAGGGATACAACTGAGATGTCATAAATAGAGTACTATAGACAACAGTAGTGGAAAATGTTGGCGGGAACGCGAGGAGTGAAGTTGTGTGATTTGTTTTATTTTGTCTATTTAGTGTTTCTTCAGGTTAAAATGTGTAATAACGGTGGTTTATTAACTGTTTAATATCTGTGAAAGTGCACAAATGTGGGAAAATGAAACAAAGCCGCTGGACGTAACTTCTCGGGATCCTCCAAAAAGTCCACTGAAAAAATCTCACTAAGTAAATGACCACCATTTTACTAAGATATATGTCATCCCATATCATCTCATCTCATTTAATTTAATTTCATCCCAGTTGATTAATGTTTCAAATTATCTTCATTTCATTTCACTACATATTATCATTTTTCATAGAAGACATGATAAAATAAAAATAAGACTTGACTTAAAAGTCTTAGTTACCAGGTCATAAAATCCCTTAAAAAAAAGACAGCAGTAGTTACCCTGTCACATATTAGGCACTGAACGGCTGATAGTAACTTCCCGTCGAAAACGTCGGATATGATGCTTCGGTACTTCACGTTGCTGCCGTCGCCGGATGAACCGCTTTTTCTGCGAGATCAAAAACTCACTTCAGACCTTATAACTAGGGACTTAAAGTTGACTATTTTTTAATGCATTAATATTCTAGGTACATAAATAGTCTTTTCTTAATATATAGATATATTGACAAATTCTTATACCGATTCTTGTTTAATGTTTACAGTAGACAGCGGCTTGTCTCTGCCCTTAGCATTGCTGAACTTCATGGGCGAAGGTAACCACTCACCATCAGGTGGGCTCTATGCTCGTTTCTACAAGTTCAATAAAAAAAAAGCCTTTACACAAAAAAATTATTACATCATGTCTTCTAAATCAAATCAAATCAAATCAAAAAATTTTTATTCAACATAAATGAAAGTACATACTTGTTGAACGTCAAAAGAACTAACGCCAATTCACAAAAACTAGCCTCCGTCCTGAGAAGAACTGGCAAGAAACTCAGCGAGCATATCTTTTTTTTATAATATTAGTTTTTTTTTTAATATTACATTTTTTTAAATATACAATTTTACAATAACTAAATGTTCGTCGCATGTCAGTCCACACTTAACACTACCGATCCATACGGGCTCAAACACACCTGGTTCTTAAATAGGAATCAAGGATACAGATATTAACACCTAATACCAAAATTAGCGAGCATGGATCTAATTTATTACTGGTGGTAGGACCGCTTGTGAGTCCGCACGGGCAGGTACCATCACCCCGCCTATTTCTGCCGTGAAGCAGTAATGTGTTTCGGTTTGAAGGGTGAGGTAGCCGTTGTAACTACCTTGTTGTAGACCTTAGGACTGATATTTCAAGGTGGATGGCAGCATTTACGTTGTAGATGTCTATAGGCTCCGGTAACAATTTAACACCTGGTGGGCTGTGAGTTTGTCCACCCATCTAAGGAATAAATAAAAAGTTGTATTAAAAAAAAGTTGTATTTTGAACTTTATTGTTATTATCATAAGGCACTGCTTACGTGTTCTCTTTATCCTTGGAGTCGGGCGCGTCACTAGCGCCGCTCGAACAAGTCTCGTACCGCTCTTCGGGTTCACTCGAACACGATAATTCCGATTCTGAACCTACGTCTCTTTGATTTGACGTTGGGCCTTTAAATAAAAAATTAAAATTCATTAAAAAATCAAGACTATTGGAGGAGGAAAGTTGTGTGATTTGTTTTATTTTGTCTATTTAGTGTTTCTTCGGGTTTAAATGTGTAATAACAGTGGTTTATTAATTGTTTAATATCAGTGAAAGTGCACAAATTTGGGAAAATGAAACAAAGCCGCTGGACGTAGATTCTCAGGATCCTCCAAAAAGTTCACTGAAAAATTCTCAGTAAATGACCATCATTTTACTGAGGTTATATAATATTTCATCCCATATCATCTCATCTCATTTTATTTAATTTCATCTCAGTTGATTAATGTCCCAGATTAATAATTTTTATTTCATTTTATTTCACTCCATATTATCATTTTTCATAAAATTAAGAAATAATTATATAAGAAATATAAAAATAATATTTAAAATAAGACGACTTAAATAATGTCTTAGTTACCAACTCATAAAATCTTTTAAAAAAAAATGAAGACTATACTACACTCGACACTGGCAACAATGACATCGTAAGAATATTGCCATACTTAAAAAAAAAAAATTGATGATATTCATACCATTAAGTTGCTGCGTGTGAGCGTTGTACGTGAACTGGTGCATGCCGGCGAAACTGGCAGATCTCTTGTGTCTTGTACCGGCGGTTTCTTGATTATGTATTCTGTAACCAAATAATCTATGATCACACGAACATTATTATATAATATGGTAATGTGATAGACATCATAGAATCAATATTTTTCATAGGGTGCCTGAATCTCACTAACAAGATAATACATTTACTACTACTATAGGAAACTGAAAAAAGACTAATAGAAAAAAAATCCAGACCTATAATATCCGTCTGCAGCCGAGTCGTTGTACGAGGCGGGGGCCGGCGATTTCCGCCTCATCCTCGCGAAGAAAGGCGCGTCACTTGCTGGAAACAAATATTTAGTTATATAATTTGAGTAGTGAGAATTCGAAGATCCCGGGTACCGGTTTCATGCATTGGACTTCATACAAAGGAAGGCCATCCGGATTATCGATAATCCCGATCTTACAAGTGACTGAGAGGCGAGGGGTCAACGTGGTCAATGAACTTCAGCTGCACCACGGTCTAAGCCGCTGAGGACTCTCTTAGGGGACCGACTATAAACTCATTATCGGAGCCCACGGACATCACGGCGCGAATGCTGTCAATGACTTTGAGACATGAAACGAAATGCCTACGGATGAACCCAGCTTCGGATTTATTTATCATTTTCCCAGTCAACTTAAGTGTTCCACTTGTAGCGGGGCTTAGCTTAGACAGTCTGTGTCGAGTCGTCACACAATAAACAGGTTGCAAACGGTCGTGTCTTATTAATAACTATCACCCTACATAATATCACACATGCTGTATATCATAAGCACAGGCTCAACACATTGATTGATATCAATGAGGACCTTTGCATGATGATATTACCTCCCGATGACGCGGCCCTACGACGCACGTGTATCTTTCTGTTCCCGTGGTGGTCACCGTCAGCTTCCGAGTCGAGCTTATCGTTTGGTGTACAATTATATATCTGTAAGTAAAGTTTAATTTAATTAAAAAAAAAAAACACTTTATCCCAAAGGTAACCAAGATAGAATTTTTTATATATTTATTATATTCTATATGCCGACCAACAACGATACTGACTTAGGTCCTGAACCGAACCAGGACCCCGACGTACTGCAGTCTGGTCTAGTTCACTGATCACTAAAGCAACGAAGGGAACAATATTTGTACTGAACATTTCGAAATATGTAAAATGCAAAAAAAAAAAACGCATCGTAACTCAGTTCATACTGGACAGGATGTTAGAGAGAAATTATAATTTGTTTTTTATTGCCTTTGTAGGCAGACGGGCATGCGGCCCACCTGATGGTGAGTGGTTACCGTCGCCCATGGACTTCAGCAATGCCAGGGGCAGAACCAAGCCGCTGCCTACCAATTATTGTGTTGTCATCGGTACTTGATACGTGTGCAGATTTTCAAGTTAATCGGACGTCTTGAAAGTGACGTTTAAAGACACCATTACATATTATATCATGCCAAAGTAATAAGCGGGTTTTGAAGCTCACAACATAAGCCCTTGTTGCCATAAAAGGGTTTGGGACTCATAAATGCTCACAACCCATGCGGTTACAGAAATCCATAAACGCCACAACGTGAACGTCAACGACCTTGAGCGATAAGGTTATACCTCTGCCACTCTCTCTCTTTCTCCCCCCCCTCCCCTCGCTCACTGTCTATATCTCTTAAAGTATTTCTTGAGCGGGTCGTGATTCCAATCCGGTGGTTGTGGTTGATTCAGCAGAGCTCTGCTCTAGCTAGGCCTAGTAATAGATAGCTCGGGTCTTAGATTACGCTACCTCCCCATGAGTAGCTGGAATAGCCCCCTAAGCTAGCAGAGATTAGATAGGAGATTAGGTTACCGGCTCTTTTAGTTCTTCATGTAGCTGATCCATGAAACAGCGCAAGAACTCCTGCGTGTCGTGTTGATGGTATCCACGAAACATCGGATGAACCTGTGCGAGTAAAAAAAGCATTATAGTACATTCGATTCGGACTACACGAGTCGCAGACTTTTTCAAAACTATAATTTTTTTTTTTTTTTATTGCCCTTGTAGGCAGACGAGCATACGGCCCACCTGATGGTGAGTGGTTACCGTCGCCCATGGACTTCAGCAATGCCAGGGGCAGAGCCAAGCCGCTGCCTACCGTTTAATACTCTCCACAAGCCTCGTTTGAAGAAGGACATGTCATAGCGCTCGGGAAACACCGTGGAGGGGAGCTCATTCCATAGCCGGATGGTACGTGGCAAAAAAGACCTCTGGAAACGCACTGTGGATGACCGCAGTGGCTCCAGGTAGTATGGATGAACTCTACTCCGGTGGCGGGCGGTGCGATGGTAAAAACGAGATGCCGGTATCATCTCGAACAATTCCTCAGAGCACTCCCCATGGAACATACGGTACAAAATACAGAGGGAACCGAAGTCCCTCCGCAGACCCTATAAATGTATTCGAAATGATGGTAAGAATAGACGCGAGATTAATTCGTAAAACTGCTTTCAGTGATAATCAACATTAAATTGTTTAAACAAGAGCAAACTCGATTATTTTTTTTCATCTTTTCACTTAGTAACAATTTTTTTAAATATATTTTATGACCTGGTAACTAAGACCTTTAAGTCATGTCTTATTTTAATCTATATTCTTATTTTTATGAAAAATGATAATAAGGAGTGAAATGAAATGAAGATGATTAATTTGAGACATTAATTAATTGGGATGAAATGAAATGAGATGAGATGACATGGGATGAAATATGATCTCAGTAAAATGGTGGTCATTTACTGAGATTTTTTTAGTGGACTTTTTGGAGGATCCCGAGAAGTTACGTCCAGCGGTTTTGTTCCATTTTTGCACTTTCACAGATATTAAACAGTTAATAAACCACCGTTATTACACATTTAAACCTGAAGAAACACTAAATAGACAAAATAAAACAAATCACACAACTTCACTCCTCGCGTTCCCGCCAAAAAGTCTTAGTAAAATTAAATTTAAATGTGTGTTCCCAGCACCTTCCAGTGGTTGCCAGTTGCACCATTACGGGCATCTGCTGACGTATTGCTATTACCCCCCTCCTCTAATTTCATTACCATAATTTCAGGAACTAGTCTGAGTTAAATTTTCTCTTGAGTTAAAATATTGACAGACCATAAACGACTTATTTTTCTGTCAAGGTAATTAATTACCAATGAATAATGATTTCCGTTCGAGATCACAAAGTACAGTATCAAAAATAACACTTGTATAATAAAAGCAGTGTGCTTCTGATGATCAAAAAATTTGCACAACATGGCCTCTCCAGTTCCCGCCAAAAAGTCCAAGTTACCAAACAAACTAAATAGATGTCTGTTTGTAACGTTTTCAAATAGCTGCGGACATAGTTTGAACCGTGGGATAGAATATACTTCTGACCTTGGAACTCTGGCAAACGCAATCTAAGTGCAGTCCCCACGGGTGAAGCAGCAGGCGATAAGTTAGTTTACACATATTATGTAGATACTCACATTTCTAATACCATACAGGATTCCGTTAGGTACAACGTAGCCTCTAGATTTTCTACTCCACATTTCTTGAATTAATTTTTGGTATGCTCTGAAACAACACAATCGCAGAGTATAAATAATTTTCGCAGCATGCTGTATCCTTCAATGCTTAGTCACCTTTTACTAAACCCGCAAGAAGAGATTAGGTGGTGCTAGTTTTTTCATTTTTCACAAGTCGTAGATAAAATTACTTTTACGCTTTCATCTCGCGTTTACTATTTTCATTGTATTATTATTTCTGACATTTCCAATAGTTTACAGTTTTTCTGGTCACGGACGACGTGGTAAGATGTTTGTTGAATAGGGCCATTCGTACGTAACGGTGGGCAGCGCCTCGGCTCTGTCCCTGGCATTGCTGAAGTCCATGGCATGTCCATGGGCGACGGTAATCACTCACCATCAGGTGGGCCGTGTGCTCGTCTGCCTACAAGGGCAATAAAAAAATTGAAGATTGTACGGACAACCATCGATTTGGCTATAAAATGGGTGGTCAAAAGTAGTTATCATTATAACAATGGGTTCCCATAGCGTTGATCCCAACGAATTTAGTTTAATAACACAGTCTCAAAATACCGGCTAATGCCTGGTTTCTTGTCTCCGGCGAGTATGTTGACGGCAGCGGCGCACTCCAGGAAGTATGACGTCAGAGGCGCCGTGTGGCTCAGGGCTTGTAGCGCCGCGTTCATGTAACACGTGTTACCCATGTTCTGGAGCCCCACTAGACCTGCAAAGTAGGAATGAATGATTTTTCTAGTTGAAAATGGAGTTATCACTGGAATGAAGCAAATGTTTGCCTATTTCTGCCGTAAAGCAGTAATGTGAAGTCGTCGTGGCCTAACGGATAAGACGTTGGGTGCATTCGTGTTGAGCGATACTGCACCGGTGTTCGAATCTCAGACGGGTACCAATTTTTTTAATGAAATATGTACTTAATAAATGTTTACGATTGACTTCCACGGTGAAGGAATAACATCGTGTAATAAAAATGAAACCCGCAAAATTATCATATGCGTAATTACTGGTGGTAGGACCTCTTGTGAGTCCGCGCGGGTGGGTACCACCACCCTGCCTATTCCTGCCGTGAAGCAGTAATGTGTTTCGGTTGGAAGGGTGGGGCAGCCGTTGTAACTATACTGAGACTTTAGAACTTATATCTCAAGGTGGGTGGCGCATTTACATTGTAAATGTCTATGGGCTCCAGTAACCACTTAACACCAGGCTGTGAGCTCGTCCACTCATCTAAGCAATAAAAAAAAAGTAATCTACATTCAAAATGAGATTTTTACCTCTAGGTCTACTGTCCTCGTCGTATTCCATTTCATCAGGATCCACATCATCATCAGCATATAGGCCAACAGAACCAATCCTCACTGATCCATCTGCTGTTGTCGAATCTGGACTCTGCTGGGGATAACATTTCAGACATAAAGCTTAATAATGAGCTCTCATTGTTATGAGAGCCAATTTTTATCGCATTCTTAAATGTTGACATCACAGTACAAAACAGTTTGATTTTTTATCTACAACTAGCCATACTCGCCTGCTTCACTGGGCATTTAAAATTAACATGATTATTTATTGTCATTATTATTAAGGAGTCCAACACTTATATAAATATTAGCCTATCCAATAAGTACATGTATTTTCTTCATGGATACCAAGCTTCAAGTCAATCGGGTGCATGGTTCAGTAGTTATAACGGAACATCCGTAAAAACGACTGTAGATTTATATATTAGTATAGATGACAATAATTAAAAATGAATAAGCATTGCTATTTGCTACTAACTGTTTATTAACTATTTATCAAATGTACTTATTTATTTATTTGTTACACTTCATGTAAAATTTACATTGGCGGACTAATTTATATTATATTATTTACTTATCACTATTTTCTTAATGAGAATAAAGCATCATTCAAGATTCAGGGTTGTCACAATCATGCATAGTAAACAAGTTGTTGTTTACAAATTACGTATTTAAGTTACACTTGTTTTGAATGTAGTTGGGAAGGATCTTACGAGTAGCATCGCAAGTCCCTAGAAAGACGGCCAACTCCTTCAAGTTGCTTCACGATTCGGTAACCAAAGATAGGAAAGCCCAGTGTGTGTTAACCTATATGCACTCAAGGAGAATGTCAATAGCTGTCTTGACAGCCTTGGTTTGGATCCAGCCTTGTAGAACTGGAGGCCAAATGGTCGTAGCAACCGTGATTGTCGATTTCTTTATCTCATTCACAGATCGGAATCGATTTTTTAACATTTGGGAGTTTTCGTCAGTCCCAACAAGTCCAGTCTACACCTCCAACATGTAAGCAAAAGTCCAGCAAAATTTCTGCTGGTCCAAAAAAATGTATATACTCACAGCTGAATGTGCCATAGCAGCTCTTATGTGCACTTCTTTTTCGCATGAATAACACCATATTCTTTCAGTTGAAACATTCATGTGAACGCAATGCGTGGCGAAATTCTGAAAAAAAGTTTTTCACTATATAACTTCTTGTCAATTTAATGTTTTTTCAGTTAAAGTTTATCTATAATTATTCATCTACCTAAAAATTTTAGTTTCAGTAGACATTTTCGAAGACTTAATTCATTTAACCCTCTATTTGTAGCAAGTACTTAGAGATAGAATGCAGCACACATTTGCCTACATTTTAGAGCCAGATGAGTTTTGTAAAATTAGTATGTAACATGAAACTGAAAACATCATTCTTAGGATTGATATTCTTATGTTTAACACTGATTGCAGACAAAGGTATAGAGACATGAGTACTTATTTTATACAATACAAAAGGTTTTTTTATTGCATATACTGATAGAGTTTACAGCTCAACTTTTATGTGGTTACAGGAGCCTGTTCACATAGACATTACAATGTCTACGTTATCAACCACCTTGAAACATGATGTCAAAGTATCAATTGTATTCTATAGTTTTAGCCTTTGCACTACTATGCAGCAGAAACAATCAGAATGGTTTTGCTACCTGACAATTACATTAGATCCCACTCTTAAATGGGAAATTAATAATGGTTTTCTTCTTTAGTTATATCTTTAAGCAGAAATTCAGTCATTTATTGAGTGTCCAAATCTATGAACACGACTGCTTACAGTAGTCTGATAACTTTTAATTGTGTTCATAATTGTATATATATAATAATACACAATTTTGTCAGGAATGATCAAGACTGTCTTTGTGTTTGACAATAATGCAGAAAGGGTAAAGGATGAGGTTCAGTGGCATTACCTTGTGGTGGAATGTACTGTGATCATTTTTTACTTCAGAACAGCCAACATGATGACACTCAGGCTGCAGGCAGATCCATAAGTTCGGGCCGGGACAGCCACAGTCGAAACATGTCAAAGCCTGGACAAAACATCAACATTAATCATAATGTAAACAATGCATACTTTAATTAAAACAATTTATACAGTGTTTACTATTATAATTTTTTATTATATAGGAATATTTTAATTCTTTTGCAGTTTTCATGATCACAGTCAAATGCATATTTCAATATTGATTTATTTTTCTATATGTCAAATAAATCCTTCTCTGATTTGAATCAAAATAAGAATTTTATTTAAAAACACTTATTATCTGCATTAAGGTCACAAAGCATTATGATTGTGTCACCTCATTAATATTTTTGCATAATTTAGTGATGAATATTGAATAACATACATATTTAACTCTTATTTACAATTTTTCTAATAATTTAATATGGATGTTTAATATGGATTTTCAAATGATACCTCTTGTATGTTGTTTTTTTGTGGTTTTTGTTTGGCTGTGACAAAGAGTGCAGGGTTTTTGTGTAACTACTTCTATTTTTTCCTATTATGTAGGAGGAGCATTGGCTATTGCTTTTCAGATTAGTTGATGCTGTATGGAAATTGTTAATAAAAGAAGAATTACCCTTAGTCATGTTTTTTTTTATTGTTGATCAGTTGAATTATGATCAAAAGATAAAGAGGATAAGATAAAACACTAAAGTAACTAAAAGAAGAAGACTCTTAATAGTTGATGATGTTCCCAGCATAAAATCTACAGGAGTGTGAGATATACATAATAAAGTGTTTCCGTTATGGACAAACTTATCTTTGTACTTTTGATCTTAGGATTTAGTGTTTCTATTGTTTTTTGTTGTATGGGAAAAATACTAGCAAAGTACAAATTGAATATTTTAATTTTTTTAATTTAATTATATACAAATTCTTTGTCAAAAAAGATTTAAATCACTTTTAAATAGAAAACTTGGAAATAATCTTTATTAGTACTTAACGATTCTTAAGAAACGTAATATGAATTTACAATTTATATTGAACTTTGTGAAAATAACAGCACGAATTATTTTCTATGGAGATCCTAATCTGAATTCAAAAAATAACTGTCTCCATTAGCACTCTTTTGTCTACAAGTCTACAACAGTCATCAAAATCTTTAACTCAATTCTATTGTCTAAAATTTATCTGACAACTCATTGACTAAGTAAATCTTTGCTATTTTATAATTTAAGAATTTATACAAACAGTACTCATTTTATATATTATTATGAATTATTCCTATCCAAATTACTGGTAGTAAAATATTTATGATACTTAATTTTGAGCTTATTTGAAATATATTTAAATAGTTTTGTATAATTCCGTAGTTAGCTACAAGTAAATTCATAATAATATTGTGTGCAGAGAAGCCCTAAAGTCTAAATTTAATAACGACAAATTATCCTCGGACATTCGTGAGTTTGTAAACACGCAACAATTGAGAATTATTTGTTACACAACCACACATAACTTGGTGGAGTAAGTAGGCATTTTAATTGTCTATTTGAGTAATCGTATTTTGAGGTTAAGGATAAATGTTAGGACTCACCTCTTTTGACTGCCATAATTCTTTCCCGAGTACGTGGACCAGTTTGTTTAAATGTTCGCATGTCATTCCTTTTTCCATTTTGAATAAAAAATACAAACACACGTAAATAAAAAGATTCGACTCTTCACAATAGCCTTGTAAATAAAGAGAATTTTATGCGAAGGCAGAAATTGATGCTATGTTTAGTTTACCATAGGAATAAATAGGAAAAAATAAACTTAGTCTTACAGGAAACATTTTTATGGAATGGAATTAATTGAATTAGATTACAGAAATTTTACAATAATCGTATCGTTGATCGTTTGCTGACAAGCATAGATTATTCCACAGACTACTATGAAATCACAGCATATATATATTATTGCTTACGCATGGTTATTCACAACAAATGAGGTGAATGAAGTTAGCCCCTCAAAAAAATTTTTTTTTCCTGTTTTCTACTTATTTTCTATTAATTCGTTTGTTCATCATTTGTTCTTGATTGTTCATTGTTAATAATTGTTTGTTCCCCATTTATTTATTTTAAAAAAAATATTAAAAATATATCTAAAAGTTAGCCCCTCGATTGCAATTTTTAATATTTTTTCGTCCTTAATTACTNAATCGAAAATGAATATTTACGAGTAATTAAGGACGAAAAAATATTAAAAATTGCAATCGAGGGGCTAACTTTTAGATATATTTTTAATAATTTTTTTAAAATAAATAAATGGGGAACAAACAATTATTAACAGTGAACAATCAAGAACAAATGATGAACAAACGAATTAATAGAAAATAAGTAGAAAACAGGAAAAAAAAAATTTTTTGAGGGGCTAACTTCATTCACCCCAACAAATGTGAACATTTGCATAGATTAAATATAGAAACAAAGTTCGAGATAATTAATTGTCTTCTTGAATGACCAAACCGGGATCCGGGAACGAGTCGGATCCCAAGCTGTTTGCATATCAAGGAGTTATAGCCGAAAAATACAAATTGCGAAAATAAAATGTGCATTAAAACTCCGGCTTACTGTGGATCACTGCTTCCATCTCTGGGCTGGGGCTCTCAAATACCAGCCATTTCCATTTGACTTCATATTCCATACCGAAGTGGTTTCTTCCTATTGTCGATAATCCCATTCTCACGGATTATCTGGAACTTGGTCAACCTGGTTAACGTAAGGAATTAGATTCTCTGTGTTTTGAACCGTACCGAAGTATTCTTATTATATCGTATAGGTGGCATAAAAGGTAGTCTGTTTTCTGTTCCAGAGTTCAAACAATTTCCATACCGAATTTTATCAAAATCGGGTCAGCGGTTTCAGCATGAAAACGTAAGACACAGACAAAGTTACTTTCATATTAATAATGCTTATAAGCTCTAACATCTCGCAATACGAAGTAATTTCCAAAAATCATTGATTTAAGTGAAACAAAGCCCAAATTGTGCTTCAAATTAATCTGTTTCAGAAAGTAGCGCTAAAAAGGTAAATAAACAAATGGTGGCTTTTATTTTATTACCGTCTTCTACCTGCTTTACACTTCTTTATAAAAGATCTCGTCTCGCTATACGAGCTAGATTTTTATGTGTACAATGAGCGACTCAAGTAAAGAATAATAAGGTTTTTACGAAGATAATCTCCAGTATACTCTAAAGAATAAGTTTATTAACAATGTTCGCTGTCTGTCTAGTTATTATAAACGAAATGGACTGTTTGGCGACAACACGAGGAGCTAAGTTGTGTAAGTTGTTTTATATTGTTAAATTAGTATTTCTTCAGGCTTCAATGTGTAATAGCATTGGTTTATTAACTGTTTAGCATCTGTGAAAGTGCGCAAATGTGGGAAAATGCCAAAGGGCGTAATTATTGGATTCTTTCAAAAAGTCCTGAAAAATTCTCAGCATGTAACCACAATTATACTGAGACTTAATTACTCATATCATTCAATTTAATTTTATCTCAATTATGAATGTCTCAAAATAATTAACTTCTGGGCTCGTTTTATATTACAACAGTACATAATATAAAGTAATTATAAAACACTGCTCAAAGGACTCGTTATTAGATCAAACAAATAAAAAAAGGTCTGAAATGAATGGACATAAACCATAAACATAACTAATATATGAGTCGTCTATTATCAAAGGTGGCAATCTGTGCATTTGGACAACAAAATTTTATTGATATGTCAATACAGATTGATTTGAATATAATCGTCTCCTTCAAAGAATACGGTTCAAAACCTGCATTAAATAAAGGTTAATAGTTAACCTGTTATTTATCTAAGATGTCGTTCCGAAGAGTTTTGTGACTGCCGATGGAATACAAAGTAAATAATTCGTTTTTCTGATTTACCAATCATTGTCCAAAAGTCAGATTGCCGCNTTGAATATAATCGTCTCCTTCAAAGAATACGGTTCAAAACCTGCATTAAATAAAGGTTAATAGTTAACCTGTTATTTATCTAAGATGTCGTTCCGAAGAGTTTTGTGACTGCCGATGGAATACAAAGTAAATAATTCGTTTTTCTGATTTACCAATCATTGTCCAAAAGTCAGATTGCCGCCTTTGATAATAGTCGACTCATATATAATTATATATTAATCTGTGGACCCATAGATTATACACTTAATTGTGGACCTAACAAAATAGAAAAACAAGTTTTTTTTTCAATCGATTTAATTAATTTTTTATGGAAATAGAATTAAAATGACTTCCGCATCATCCAGTAGCGCTAGGAATTTGTTCGCGGAGTCCAAACAAAGGCTCGCTGAAAGAGTGCAAGTGAATATGAACAATATTTCGTCGTTGGCGAGACAAATTCAGAGAGGTTCTAAATCTAATGAGGTAACCGACGATTTTACTTTACTTAAAAAAAATCGGCTCCAACTAATTATAAAATGAGAAGATGACTGAATATGCTGAAAGAGTCATAGGTCCAGTAGTGGTTAAGGCCCTTGGAGTTTTGCGGTAGGCAGCCGCTTGGCTCTGCCCCTGGCATTGCTGAGGTCCATGGGCGACGGTAACCATTCACTACCAGGTGGGCCTATGCTCGTCTGCCTACAAGGGCAATAAAAAAAAAAGAGTAAAACCATAATAGCTAAAATAAAAATTATTTATTTTAATATATCTGTGTTATAAATGTATCTATAATAGTTAGCAATTTTAAACTATATCTTATGGATTGCGAGATGCGAGAGTTACTGAAAATAGACTGAAATGCTCTGAAATATTAAATCGTATGTCATTTAATTATATTCCAGCTGTTAACAAAAGCAGCAAGAGAAATGGCATCAACAGAACATCAGATTGAAACCAGTGAGGAAAATTTGAAGAAGATGCAATTAATAGCAGTCCACATTGGATATCAATTTGAAAACATTCATAAGTCTGCAAAAATGCTGACAGAAATAAATGAACAAATTACAGCTATGCAAAGATGAGAAATTATTGGGAAACTGTTTTTGTTTGTGACTACATAGACGAACGGCAAAAGGTTTAATCAACTCAAAGCTTTCTTTATAGTGGTGGTGACTAAGCTTTTATGTGTATGAGATTTCAAATTGTATTAGAATTTGTTAAGATTTCAAAAAAGAACATAAATTGTGGACATAATTTAATTATTTGCTGTAGGATTTTAGATTTTGTTTTCAGCCACTGAACTATTTTTCTTAATGGATAATATTTTATGTAATTTGGGATTTGAGATTGAATATTTGTTCATGACTGTACTCTATAAGTATTTTATAATAAATTAATTATGTAATTCAATGAAATTAATAAAAAAATATTTAAGAGCATTGTGTATCTTTCTGTTATTGTTCATGATGGATTGAAATTAGAACAGCAACCAATCCTGAATATTATGTGATACATATCTATTTACTGAATAGTAAAGAATTAGGAAACAACCTTTGTGGAGTTTAAGTATATCATCATGATCAGCCATGCATTGCTGGATATAAGTCTCCCCAAGGATCTTCATGGCCTCGAATATAGACACAATAAAATAATTTGTATTTTCACACTTAGCCCCTGTGCTTTGAATAGTCTATTTTTTTTTTTATTGGTGAATTGCCGTTTATTTAATCAGGAGTTAATAAACTCGCTTCATTCTTGAAATGCTCCACTATCGAACAATTATTATATTATGAGATTTCCTCCAGACGTTTTGGTTTTGTTTCAATTGTTTTTTTAAGCAGTCATGGCATGGCATGGCATCATCAAGGCATGACTGTTTAAAAAAACATAGGATTTAAGACACAGGATTTACAATATAATTTTTACTTCGACCTGTGTGCTTAGTGCGAGTTTTTGAACGTTCTCGATAGCGTAAAAGTTAGCTCATATTTGTATGGAATGGAATCGTTTGCCTGCGTTTGCCGCTAGGGGCGCTGTTTCAACTGCATACAAAATTGGGTTAACTCTTACGCTATCGAGAACGTTGAAAAACTCGCACTAAGCACACTGTTTCAATATGGGTCAAGGCGTACTGGTGGTAGGACCTCTTGTGAGTCCGCGCGGGTGGGTACCACCACCCTGCCTATTTCTGCCGTGAAGCAGTAATGCGTTTCGGTTTGAAGGGTGGGGCAGCCGTTGTAACTTACTTGAGACCTTAGAACTTATATCTCAAGGTGGGTGGCGCATTTACGTTGTGATGTCTATGGGCTCCAGTAACCACTTAACACCAGGTGGGCTGTGAGCTCGTCCACCCATCTAAGCAATAAAAAAAAAGGCGTTTACAGATCTAAGGGCTTACTACTTTTTTTTTTATCTAACATGTATTCGGTTTGTGCAGTAGGCATCGGATTAACTATATCCATAAGCCATAGATAATAATACACTAAATATTTAAGATCTTAAGCGACGGTAACCGCTCACATGATCAATATGCTTAAACTGTGGGCACAAACGAAAAAAAAAACATTTGTCATTTCGTGTACCGATTACATGGAAAAGAAGCAACATCTAGGGCTGTATAAAAAGAAAAACAAGCGGTTTCTATCCAAAAATGTAAATTTTTCAATAAACAAACCATGATCTATACAAGTCTAAAACCAACCACGTAGTCTTTGTTATATTCTCGGGTACTTTCACTGGCCCTAAACGTAATGCTCGCGATTAGATTGCTTCCTGGTTCCTAGTACATAAACATGTCACGATTGTAATTTGCATAATTCAAGCAGATCGCGAAAACCAAGTAGAACACGCATTTGCGAAGATAAAATAATCTTGCGCATTAAAATATAATCATTATTTCTATTGGGATTAGAAGCACACGTACCTATTCATTAATTATATGGTCTGGTTCTAAACTATTATTTTTGGATACAGGAGTAGTTAGAATGAGAGAGACCAGAATGCCGTAATAACTACATACTATACGGTATACCTAACTGGTTTTAGGTGAAAATAAAAAAAAAAACAGCCAAATGGTCAAATATTCATATATTGATCAAGATTTCCGATCGCGAATGAAATCCGAATTTCTGTGTAATTGTACAGGAGTCAGGATCAATAAGCTCCGAATCCTGATCACGCAGGAACAAGTCAACGTCGTCGCCCTAGACACGTCTTTACGGATCAATCAGATCCAATAACTCTTGCATTAGTCTCCTTCAGCTCTAACACTAGGAGCAGGCTTAGGGACCTCGGTAAACGTACTCGAACTCGGCAAAGAGTTTGACGTGCAACCTAACCCATGCATCACCCCGCTGAGCTTCAAGCCGGCTCTTCTCAGTGGGTTGCGATTCCGATCCGGTAGTAGATTCATTCGCGAAGCAGTTCCTCTTGTGTTGTTAGGTTTTTTTTTTGTATGATTGAAAGATTACTGGTGGCCCGGAGGCCTTTCAAGCTTCACCAGGACAGGTGGGCGAGCGAAGGCTCAGCCAGGAGGGGAGGGATTTGCTAACAACTGCCCGAGCGCCTCCGAAGGAGACCTAATAACTCAAGAGCAATTGCTTCGCGAATGAATCTACTATCGGATCGGAATCGCGACCCACTGAGAAGATCCGGCGAGGTGTTGTTAGGTCTTCTTCGGAGGCGCACGGCAGCTGTTAGCAAATCCCACACTCCTAGCCTTTGCTCGCCCCCCTGTCCTGGTGAAACTGGAAAGGCCTCCGGGCCAATAGAAAAAAGATCAATAAGCTCTATGCCGACCCACAAGGCTACTATAGTCTATGCTTTTTCTTAGCGGAGTAGAAAAATAAACGTATTGTCCAGTGTAAACAATAACATCTGTATCCATGATCTTTATCTGACCTAACATTATAAATATGAGTTTATTTGCATGTTTATTACTCAATCAGGCGAAATAACGGAACGAATTTGGTTGAAAATTGAAAATAAAAAGATTGTTTGTAATCTGGATTAACACAGAGAATATTATGGAAAATGATATAAACCCGGGCAATGCCGAGTAAGCCAGCTTATATCAGCTTGATATAAGCTTGGAGAGCAATAAGACAATGTTTTCGCTGGTTCATAGTTTTATGAACCAAAATGCAGTGGTTTTTTACAGATTAGAGAGTAGCTTAAGTGATTCTATATTGAGGAATAATGCTTTATCAATTTCATATTCATATTCAATTTTATCATCATCATTATCCTGCCCTTCTCCCAGTCACCTGGGGTCGGCGCAACATGTTTTCTCCTTCCATACTCTTCTATCATATACCATTTCTTCGCTCACTCGCCTCTTACCCATGTCGTCTTTCAGAAATCTTATCAGAAATAAAAGGGATTTAAGAAAAAAAAGTTACCCCTAAAATAGAAGTGGAGATCCAAAGAAACATGTCATTCTACTTACTAGGTTTGGTGGGAGTCATTAAAATTTCAAAACCTTGTTCCACATTCAACTAAAAGGATAACAATCGTAATATTGCATGTCATTTCATAACGTATAAACGAATGAGAGCACAATTTATTCAATTCCGTTTTTTGTTAGACGTTTAAAAAAAATGCAATGATTTTTTTATTGTAATAAGTTTCACACTGACCTCTGACCGGAGATTTCACTTTGCTATTGTCAATATTATTCAAATAAAATAACGATAATTCAATAATTTGAGGGAAAAGAAAATGATTTGTTATTGTAACTAGATTTAACAGTTCAGTAACTTTATCTCCTTTATTTGTAAGCAGATTTTATTTTTTGTTCGGAATTAACGGACTTAATTAGTGTTATTCAATAATATCTTATATATAATTCTTTTTTGTTAAAAAAAGAAGACGGACTTCCACAAAATAAAATAAGAAGTTACATAAATATTATTTATAATTATGGATGACCCATATACTACCGAAAAAAAAATTAAGACATAAGAAACACAGAGTTTCAACTAAAAGAAGAACCTTCGAATTGGATTAACTTTGACAATCTTTAAGGTACCTATCTTCACACGAAAAAAAATTCAATCGAATTAAGTAAAAGCTCTTTCTTTTTTTAACAGTCAGCTTAAACAATTTTTTCCCGTTTGTTACAAGAAAAAAAATGAAGAACAAAACCTAAGACAAAATTTAATCGGAACATAAATTGAATATGAATTTTGTGAGGTCCGTGATTATTGTACATTAAATAAAAAACTAGTATGATAAATGGGAGAAATGCTTTTGAAATTATTAATCAACAACCTTTACGTTTGCACGTGGGCCCATTGTCGTAATATTGTCAAAATACTCAAAATACAATATAATGTTCTAGTATATATACTATTTTCCTTAACGTCTTCACACGAAAAAAAATTCAATCGAATTAAGTAAAAGCTCTTTCTTTTTTTAACAGTCAGCTTAAACAATTTTTTCCCGTTTGTTACAAGAAAAAAAATGAAGAACAAAACCTAAGACAAAATTTAATCGGAACATAAATTGAATACGAATTTTGTGAGGTTCTTGATTATTGTATATTAAATCAAAAACTAGTATTATAAATGGGAGGAATGCTTTTGATATTATTAATCAACAACCTTTACGTTTGCACGCGGGTCCATTGTCGTAATATTGTCAACATACTCAAAATACAATATAATGTTCTAGTATATATACTATTTTCTTTAACGTCTTTACATGAAAACTGATTTTGGTATTTAACTTCAATCTCCTAGCCCATTCTTAAGTGCGCATTCAAAATTTTGAAACTCTAATTACGCATAACATATTCAAAGGCAGATTAGGTTCCCTCCAATGAGTCTAGTTAGCTTGAAATGTTTTATTTTTATATCATGACAATCGTGCCTACCGTGCCATTGTGTCCATTACCCGCTCTAATTCTTACACTTTCATTTTTTTTTTCTGCGACATCCATTATTATTCTATTGAGTACGAGGTTACGCAACCCGCCTTTGACGTTTTGATATAATTTTTAGTGCTTTGTGTCGCGGCCAAGACGAATTTGCCATCGAGATAACTGATAATACACTTTTCTGTCTGTGTTTTAAAGTTATTTTTAGAGAGGCGTCCGTTTTCGGCTGACTTGTGTTACGATTTGTTCGTGACTGCAGAAGCGACTGGGGGTCGTTACGCAAGTTCGGATTATAATTATTTGAGTGGAAAGTGCAAAATTAGCCAGCCGACTAATGTTACAAATAGTTTCGTTCTGTTTAAGCTGACGCTACAAACGCGTGAATTGTTGATTAAGCGTTTACGGGCCTTCTATTTTTAAGACGTAAAAAAATTATTCCATTATTTACAGTTGTTTTATTTATTTATTTTTTATTG